GATGGAATATCCTAACTTTCTTCAGTTTGCAGTATCACTATTATAATCATGCATTTTAGTGGGAAGCTACATTGATCACATAATTGTTGATAAAAAGTAGAAAAAATCATTCTAATTTTCGGGGGTTCAAATTGGTTTCAGATATAGTATAGAAGTGTAGAAGAAAAGCATCATGTTCTAGGATAAATACATAGAGGCAGATTATGATATTTTAATCAATATCCTTTTTAAAATCTATAGTCAAAATAGAGAGAATAACTTATTCAAAAGAAGCAATTCATAATTATTACTAGTTCAATGCTCACATACAGAAGAAAAAAAGAAATTGTAACTATGGTACAAGTCACCTATGGAAAAATAATCTGAATATGGGTTGCCTTTACCTTAGTGGCTAAGCGGAGCCTTGACACAAAGATTGGTACAAAACACATGATGGTTATGTTTGCAACACCACCTGTTTTACCTACTTTTGATTCCATGCCTATTGTTGATATCATGCTTCCTGTGAACTCTTGAACTTTGAAATTGTATCGATTGAACTCTGTTATGTGATAGTGATGTTAATTAGATGATAAATATTTGATGTTGGGATTGTGTTTGCATTCTTGACCTGCACTGGTTCACATAGTACTGGTCAATTTTTATCAGGAAGTAACAGCAAGTGCATGTAGTCGTAGCTTCTAATCATAACTGTATAAAATTTGACAGCATATTTTGCTGAATTTAGCAACAAAAAGCTGCATATTCACTATCCGATTGTTTTTCTCTTGTGCTGATTGGCTCATCATTTAACAATTTTCTGATATTTTTTCTTTGCATTCTCTGTTATCCTCTTAGTTTCCTGCCCCCCAAGGAGGAAACACTATCAAGACACTCAATCTTGGGTCCAAATGGTCTTCATGGGCATTGGAAGCCACCTGTTGCTGATCGAAGGGTATATTTACTGTCCACTAAATACTTGTTTCATATTATTCTAATGATAATCACACCCCTTTTTTGTTACTGTAGATCCAATACCCAAGCAATTTGGACCTGACTCCAATTGAGTTCCCAAGGTTAAACTCTTTGATCTCTTTGTTCCACTTGGTTTTCTGTCATCTCAATGCGGTCATTGTTCTTTTTTGATGTGTCATCCCCTTTGTTTATTTTTTCCTTTTTTTTATAATGTGGAAGTTGAGGATGATTATTGTAATTTTGCTGTGGTCGATGAGTAAATAAGTGATCCAAGCTACAAATATTATCAGTATTTGACATATCCTGAAGCCACATATAGAATAATATAAACTCATTAAGACATGCAATATGTTATCATAAAGAAGTGTCAATGGTACAGGCCTACAGTGGCTCTAATATGTTCTGAAGAATCCTATGTGTTGGGAGTGAGAGGAGGTACAAAGACAGGAAAAGAAAAAAAGAAGAGAGAACATAGGGGAGGGATTTCAAACCTGTTTATCCCACCTTTCTTTTGAAACATGTCAGTGCATTAATACTTAAACAAGGTTGTTCTTTCTCTTTTCCTTAATGCAACAGCCTGCTTCAACCAACAGAGGATAAACCTGTGGCCGCGAAGGAAAATGGCACTTCGGAAATTGAAAAATCTATGCTGGAAGTTCTTTCGTTGCAAGATGATTCCACTCAACCTCAGGAAGAACCACATCCAATGGTTAGCTTGGATGTTTCAGATGTGAATCCTAAGATGGATATTGTCAAAGAACTCTGTCCTCCACCAGTCCTTGCAGAAGTACAGGATGTTCATGTTACAGCACAAGATTCTTGTTCCTTAACTTCACAAACAGTTTCTTTGCAGGATGAGCTAATTCATGCAGAATCTCCTCAGGAAGTTCACATAGTGGGTCCTCCAGACTAACGAACAATAGTCCACTCTTTTTCTGTTTTTGAATTTTTTTTTTGGCAGAGGCTTTGAGAATCATCTGTGTTTTATTTATAGGGTTTTCCTTCTTTGTTTTCTTTCCATGTTTTCTTTTAATTACTGGTTTGTTTTTTGCTTGCAGTCAACGGCTCTGATGGATAGTTTTATGAGGCTTGCAAAATCAAATACTGTCAGAAATTTAGAAACATGTGGTGTCCTTGCCGGTTCACTTGTAAGAAAACATCTGTATTCAATATAGAGCACCATAAGCTCGGGTGATATGTTCACAAAAAATATCTTTTGCTTTTACAGAAAAACAGAAAGTTCTATGTGACAGCTCTCATCATCCCTAAGCAGGAGTCGACATCTGATTCAGTAAGATAGTGGCATCTCATTTTGCATTATTTTTCATTCTATGAAATTATGGTCTACTGTGATTGATTATCATATGATTCAGTGTCAGACAACAAATGAAGAAGAAATATTTGACTATCAGGATAAACAGTCACTGTTTCCCCTGGGATGGATTCATGTGAGTGTATACTTATTCCTGCATGCTTCTTATCAAGAGAATTTCTTTTGACTGCATCAGTAATTTAGTGATAACATCATTTGAAAAAATAAATGATGTTATCCTTCATAAGAAAAACTTATTTTCCATGTAATGATTGAAAATTTCAGCATTTTGAATTTACTACTTAGGACTGGAAATGAGTCTCGTAATTTTTTATGTTAGATGAACCTGCTATATTAGTACGTTATGTCTTGGACTCACTTATATAGCATACAAGTTAGATCTTTTCCTCAAAGGAAATGATGGTTAAATTTATCATTTTTTTTTAGGTTCCTGTAACCCAAGAAAACAGATGTTTTTCAACTATTTTAAAATGTTTAATTACTCTCCAGTGTATTTATAGTTAGATCAGTATGTGCAAAATTTTCATGGCCTACTTTGGCAGGCCTGTGCTATCTCCTGGAACTTCTTTTATCCCATCCATTCACCATACGTCTGATGTTGTCACATCCTTATTGAGAAAGCATGTTGAAGGAAAACTGAACTTCAATTATGAAGTTTGACTTTGTGCATTTGTCGATCTATCTGCCATTCTTTGAACAGTCAGAGCTCTTAAAAATAGTGTTTTTACAGAATTGGATTTTAATTTGTTGATAATGTATATTATTTACTTCTGGGAAGAGTCAAGTGCTGGCACGTTTTTGGTTGAGTTGATGCACATGCACAGGCATATGTTTGCTGTGAACCAATGAGGGTGCCTAACCAAGTATCTTCTGCTAAATTTGCAGACTCATCCTACTCAGTCATGTTTCATGTCCTCAATTGATGTACACACACACTATTCGTATCAGGTAGATTATATACACTATTCTAGTTTTCCTGTTTTCTTGTCAAAGTTAATTTTTTTAACAAAGCTGAAATTTGACTAGATTATGTTGCCCGAGTCTATTGCAATTGTCATGGCACCAAGAGATGGTTCGAGGTATGATTTTTATTTTCTTACATACATTTGTTACACAGTCTTGCCATGCTAATAGCTTGTTTCAGTTGTGGCCTTGAGGATATTGGTTTTTGAATCTTTTTTGTTATATGACTAGCTGATTTGGGTTGTCAATGGGCTGTCATGTTTTCAGCTTGAACCCAGATTGGGGATGTGATTTTTATGCAGTTGCCTTGCCCGGTCAGGAATTGTCTGAACCTATATGGTCCAGAACTTTTTTGCATTAGTTTCATTTTTTTAATTTGACCAGGCTTGCTAGGATAAGCTCATAGTCAATCTTGGTATAGAGGCATTATTGGCTATCAACTAAAACTCATGAACGAGACTTTTTAGCCGATATTGCTGGTCCTAAATTGCGGAAGAGCATTGTCACCATAGTGAAGTTGCTCTTTCATGATTTGAGTTTTTGCGGTTTTAAGAAGAGACCCTGTGCATATGAGGTTAAGATGCTGACATCTTTTAACTCTCAAATCCCACATTGATGGGAGTCCATGTATTTCAAAGAGCCAGTTATTATTTCTCTACTCTTCATTTAGTTGTTGGGGCCTAAAAATTTGTTAAACATTTTATCAGGCAGGCACTAGCAAGGCATTACATTACATTTGTTGGCATTTATGCATCATGAAGCAGAGTTTAACTTCTTTATACATGCAGAACCCACGGGATATTTCGGCTGACCACACCAGGAGGCATGTCTGTCATAAGGCAGTGCCAACAGCGTGGCTTCCATCCTCACCAACAGCCATCAGATGGTGGGCCTATCTATGACCACTGCTCCGATGTCTACATGAACCCCGACCTGAAGTTCGATGTAGTAGACCTCCGGTAGCCACCCATATCTTCCGAATCGTTTAATCTGAATTGCTTCCGAACTCGTGCCCATGATGCAATCAATTCTTTGTACCTATTATCCTCCTCGTCGACGACGACAACGTTGACGTTGCCATAACAATTGTGAGAAAGATGGATATCTAGCATGTTCCTGTACATAAAAGCTGGCAAAGTTGTTCTGAGAACAGGTCCGAAACCTCCCTGCCAATGTGATGAACCAAGACACCTTTCATCAAATTGTATTATTTTTTGCACCGACTCTTCTTTATGTTTACCTTTTAAATTGAGCATATGAGATCCTCCTCGTGTGATGCTCCAGCCATCGGCTTTCCATGCCGAATCAATTCATTTTGTCGTGGATGCTGCTCAACGCTGCTGGGATAAAGATTGATGCTCGTAATGCCTACTGGTAGGCATTACGAGACTAGAAATATAGCAAGCTGCTGCCAGTGTGCTGAGTGGTTAGGTGAGCAGCTGAGTCATCCGTCGTGATGTTTCTTCTGCTCTCTCTGGTTGCTAACTTCTCACTGCCCATTTCAGCGGAAGGGTAAGCAGCGCATTCAAGCTAATGCATCCGTGTCAGATTCTTCCGCGGGCAAATTGGATTAAGCAAAAGACTGTGTGTCTTCATATGGCCGTAGCTGTCCATGAGGTACGCACCAATAACTTTTAACACCTGCTTTTATTCTCGTAATCAACTTGGAAGAAATCCCTTGCAAGCTCACTTCTTTTATCCCCATTGCATTAGGATATGCAAATAAGATACCGATTTGCCTTTTATATACTTCCTTATAGGCACACATAAGCATTCATAATTCTCAACGCCGAGACAATAAGACGTGTACGCATCGACCTTCTTTTCCATGCACGCACCCCACCCAATGCACATCACCGTCGGTAGTTGGTGACGGACGTCTGCTCCCTCATTTAATCCCCAAGTAAAGCATCATCACCCTCTGTTGTTGGTGACGGGGCTTATTTAATTCACGGAGCACCCCACCGCAGCGCGCACGCACGGAGCCAGACGTCACCATATGTAGTTGGTGACCGGCGTCTACCTTCCCCTGCTTATCTAATCCCCCGCTATCTGCTGCTGCTGCTGCTCCTCCTCCTCCTCTGTCGGAGCGGAGCGGGGTAATGGAGGTTCGATTGGAGAGCTTGAGATGGACGGGGGCGAGCCCAAGAATCTCATTCTCCCACGACGTCGACCTCCCGCAGACCGACGCCTCCGAGTCCACCGACGCCGATCGCCGCCTCGACGTCTCCCTTCCTCTGGAGGTTTCCGCACCCTCCGACTTCGACTTCAGCCTCGCCATCGACGCCCTCTCCCATGACCATTCCCTCGCCGACGATCTTTTCTCCGACGGCAAACTCCTCCCCCTGCCCATCAAGAATCCTCCCTCCTCGTCGCGGCCGTCGGCGCCAGTAGCAGCCCCTCCTGCAACAGCCACATGCCGGAGGAGCCGCGACAGCCTCCGGGAGATGATGACCGGTCCCGAGGCGAACGGCATCGGAAGAGCTTCTCCGCCGACGCCCTTTTGGCGGTTCCGCAGGAGCAGCAGCGTCGGCTACGGAAGCAGCAGGAGCAGTCTTTGCCCCTTCCCCTTGCTGCGGAGCAAGTCCTCGGGTTCGTCGTCCACGCAAAGGCCAAACGCTAAGCCGGGCATCACCGACAACAGCTACTCATCCGCCGGTATCGGCAAAGGCAGCAGCCGCCCATTCAGCGAGCTGTTCAGGAAAGGCGCAAACGAACCCAAGACAAAAGTCTACTACTACTCGGGGAATTCGCGGCGATCATACGGTAGCAATGCAGTGAGAATTAGTCCGATTCTGAACGTGCCGACGCCGGGCAGCGGCAGCATATTCGACTATCTTCTCTGCAAACGAGGGGACAAGAGCATGAGCAAGAGCTCAGCTGTGACTAGTTATCCATAGTTGTTTGTTTGTAATGATGGGAGCCTTACTTTGCTATCACGGGCCGCCTCCTCTCACTTCTTTTTCTCCTTTGGCCTTCGTCTACTCCACCATGCGGAGTGCCAGGAATCGTGGGCTGGGAATCATCAAGGATGCTGCGGGAATGGGGGACAGCAAGAACAGGTCCATGTTTGCATGCTTGTTAGGTTCCTTGGCGTGTTTGTGCATTTAATCTTTCACTTTGTTACCGCTTCTTTTCTCTTCTCCCTTCTCTACAGTTATTTGATTCTTTTGGTGGATTGGCTTTCTTTTACGTACGGCATCCTTCTTTGTCTTGTAATTGCAGCATGAAGAATATTCGATTTGTGTGTGTGTATATATATATATATATATATATATATATATATAGAGAGAGAGAGAGAGAGAGAGAGAGAGAGAGAGAGGGGTAAGTGTTTAAACATATTCCAACCTGACAAGGACACCTCAGCAGGCCTTCGCAGGGTATCCTAGTAAAAAGGAAGCAACAGACAGAGGCCCCACAAGTGAGCCTTGTGCCAGCTCTATGTTTGGTCTTACATCAATCTCACGTGCTGTCATATTCACCTATTCTATTTATTTATCAAGGAAACAGATGCAAATAATAATAATAATAATAATCCGTATCAATTGTACTAGTCTCACTTATCAAAGCTCTCTTTTTCTCTCTCTAACTTATCCATTAAAAAAATAGTGAATAAATCCGATATATAAAGCTAACTCGAGTCTGCCATCTAAACCTATCGCCACCCTTAGTGTCGAGGTTGAAATAATTGTGATGTTTATATCAATAAATAAGTTTTAAGATTCAAAAAATAATAATAATAATAAAACATATTATGTGTTAAAACAGATTTGCTCACTCGAAAATCCCATTCACAAGTATGTGTGCCTCATTACCACAACTTGTGATAACGACGCAAGGACGACGAGTTCGTCCGATCTGCCGAGTTAACTCGGTATTCGAGGTGATGATGCTAATGTAGACATGATGCTCGATCGATGTGTCACGTCGACCAAGTATCCGATGTAGACGTAATGAAGGGTAACTCGATCATCCACGTGTCAAACCTAACCTTTTATATAGATAAAACTAGTGGTGTGAGTGCACCTTATCAACATCCACGTAGACAAAAAAAAAAGAGTGCTCAAAAGTACTTGTTTATTGGTAAATAGTGAACACATACGTCATTGGTAAATAGTGCACCTTAGCCCACAAAGATTAGCTAACTCTATCATTCAGAAGAATGCTTACAGTTTCTTCGTCATTTGAAATAACATGTCCATCATAAAAATGTATGGGAGCAGAATTCATGGTTCCAGGAGTCGAATTCCCGGGCCGGCATTGCCTGAAACCTGCACAAAATTCCATACTTTCACTGCATGCAGAATACAAAAAGTTCCAACTCAGAATCAACTCCAAGAAAATGAGAACACAGGCGCAAGACAACAGAAGTTGACCTTGATGGAGCTTCACTAAGAATGGTCTTACGAGTTGGCAGGCTCGCCGAATAGTTGAGTTGATGCAGGCAAACCATCTGATAGATTAACCTCGCAGAGAATTTTCTCTTCTGAGCAAGCTCGTCTTACCGCCGAGAAAACAAATAGGAACATCAAACCAAGTTGCATCTGTCGACATCAAGTTTAAATTGTAAGCATCATATGTAATCTCTCTCTTCTCAAATTTCACTTATCTTACACAAATGACGGATTTTTCAATCTACAAAGAATAATCTTATAATTCATAGTGCAACAAGCAAGAAAAGTTTCAGTTTACAGTAGCATATAACAACCACCAGTAGAAACTGGGTCAGTTGTCCACAGGAATAAGAAAGCAACACTATTCACCAAAGGGAAACTTAAACCTAATAATATCAAGGTTGCAAGTTATACCAGTGATATATGTAATTTATCTATAGCATGCAAAAACAATTACACGAAACCGAAAAAATCAGTTGAAAGCTGCAGTCTAGCTCATATCGCTCCCACTTCTAGACCATGAAATTTGAGCAGCACGGAGACAACAAAGAAAAGAACACACAAATACACTGCTGAACCCGACTAACCCCCCATAAATCCATTCCTTTGGGTTTTTCATGTTAGACCGATCAAAGCATGGAAAAAAAAAATTCTTTGCACAAAACTTGTGATCAAAATCAAATTGTCCGGATTTAAAATGATGTCATAATCAGCATAGATGCAGATAATATCAGCTTACTTGAATCCACATTAAAAGAAAAAACTGGTTCCTATAGTTGAACTCATAAAAGCTTTCTCTGAACTAATAAAAACTGAATCATAGATTAGTGCAGTGTGACTCTTGCTTGGGTCATAAAAATTAGCTCTACCAGATGAGCATGTCTATAACGGTACTCGGGGCCATCCGAGATCAAGAGAACAAGCGATATGTTAGCTAAATGTCTACCCTATTTTGTACTAGTTCCTTATGTTGATAAGAGGTGCGGTGTGTTTCAACTTTGGTTTTGTTTTTTTAGTGTGGCACTTGTGCAACCACAATCCCTTTTCTGCATTAAACTCAAACCTTTCTTTTCTGAGCCTTCATCTAAAGACAAGAAACAATATCAAATTTGCTGAGGTTTCAGAAGAGCTTGCTTTTCTTCAGTCTTCATTTACAGTCAGAAAGCTCTCTCTCAAGCTTGGTAGGATAGAGAAGATTGCACCAACATAGCATGATATCATCCTAACAACTATATAGTACATTTACTCACCATCATCCTTCCACCAAGTCTCTTTCTTTACCGACATGAATCAACTCAGAAAGACTTGAGCAAGATCCCCGAGGAGATCAATCAAAAGTATACAAATATCTTATTTTACTTGGGTCCACAAGAAAATTTCAAGCAAATGGGGTGAAGATTGGCACTAAAATCTACAGAAAGGGAATGATAAAATCAAGAAAAAGAAGACAATGGAAAACCATACTATTGCCTAGCAACAGAGGAACCGTAACACTTTCGAGGACCAAGCTACCTTAGTCACGGATCAATAGGATAATCTAGGAAATCGAACCGTCCATGTTGCAAGTAAACACAGAAACTATAAGCATTCGAAACCGTAAATACTTCTCCACCAAACATAACCCTTTGTCATCACACTCTCTAACTTCTGCAGCCACAACGACGACAACAACAACAGCAAAGGAAACAATTTGTTCGGTTCATTTTTGAGAAAGCGATTCAAGAAAAGGTATATAGCAACGCTTTGGACAAACGCAACAAATAGTACTACCTAATCCATCGATTTTGAAGCGTATATATCTCCCGAGTTCCTTCCAATAAGCATAATCCAGGAGAAAGCGACTGCAGAAAGAATTAGCCGAAGAAAGAGCGTAGCGAAAGCGTAAACTATTGAAGAGGTAGAAAAGGGCTCAATCACTAGCCAATGGCACGAAATTAAACCAAAATTACAAAAGATGTCTGTTTTGGTGCGTAAAATACCTTACATCGAGCTGTCGCTGGACGAGTCTAGGCCCCTTCTTTGGCCTCCAAAGGGGCTTCGTCCCCTTGATCGCCAGAAAGTCCTGTACGATCTCCTCACACGACAGTCAGATCCGGAACATGTAACGCTTTCTCTTCTCGGATCCGTCTGATCTCCCCCTCACCATCTCCGGCCGCGCTGTGTTTTGATCAGCCGGGGGAACCATCGTTCCAACGGCGTCGAGATCGCGGAACAAGGGGACTTTGGAGCAGCGAATGGTGCGATGAGCGCCCCAGCTGCGAGCGGGGAAGGTGGATTTGTGCAGCCAGCTTCAACCGGCGTCGAGATCGCCTGCCGTCGCTCCCACGAGGCCGTTCTCGTCTTCCCCAGCGGCGATTACCATCGATCTTGCAGTCGTTGCGGACTTTCTTTCCTCTACACGACTCTCGTGGGCTTCGCACTGGAGACGGTAGGGATTGAATCGGTGCTTTGAAAGCGTGTGGGGGAGACGATGGTGTCAGCTATCTTACTCGATCGCGTCCACAAGATCGGTGGGCCCAGTGTGGGAGTATACATCCGACGGCGAATGCGTGACGTAACAGCGCATCGCGCAAAGACTCTACCGGTGAACGAACCAAATTAAGTTTGAACTTGGCTTAAGACGAGCTTAACGCAGCATATAAAGCCATACATGGCGGGGACAACGGCTTCGCACGTGCTTGGCGCATGTGCAAGACTCCGACGTCGGTCCCGTGCCGCTCACCGCACCATTCTCTTGCGATACTCGCTCTTCGAAACCCGATTCGATACCCAGTCTCCAAATCCCGTGTTCCGCGGACCCCACACCAAAAGAAGCCTTCGTGTGGTAGGGCCTGTCGGTCGCGCGGAAAAGAAAGTAATAAAAAAAACATTTTCTTAAATTAATTTATATTATTTTATTGATGCCTTCCCCTCCGCCTTAAGAGGAGCTGTGTCTCTCTCGCACCCCCGTCTCCCCCTCTCATGCCATCACGCCAACCCCCAACTCAACAACGTTAGACGACCGTCCCCTTCCCCTTACCCTCACCACCGGTTTTGGTATCCGCGGCTACCGCTTCCTCTTGGCGCCGGCCCCCACCAGCGTTGGGTAGGGCACGGCCCCATGGTCATCTCGGCGGAAACGCCAACCCGGCCGGCGGATCCCGCTGCAGAGTCGACGGCGGTGGCGGCGGCCGGTGCTACGGCTCCTCGTGGGGAGGCGAAGGGGTCCCTCCTCCATAACTTCTCCTTCCCGATCTTGAAGACGTGGGGGAGCCACCGGGTGCTGCGCTGCATGAGCGTGAACGGGAAGCGGGAGGTCGTCGCTGGCGGTGGACGAAGGTCGGCCGTCCCCCCGGAGCCTGCTGGGCCGCGGATCCATGAGGAGGTGGAGAGTGAGGACGGCGACGACCCCGGGATCGAGGAGGTCAGGGAGAAGCTGCTGGTTCACCTCCGGGAGGCGGCGGACCGGATGAAACTGGTCGTACCGTCGCCGCCCAAGGATGCGGGCCGCAAGGCGCAGCCGGCACCGGCGCAGGAGGAGAGGCTGGATCCGGAGGTGGGTACATCGGCTGCGCCTCCGGCGCGGCCGTGGAACCTTAGGACGAGGCGCGGGGCAGCGCGGGCTTCGACGGGGGTCGAGTGGCACCTGAGCGGGTCGCCGCCGGGTCAGGTGGTTAAGAGGACGGTGCGGCGGAGGTCGGAGGACCCCTGGTGGAGGGAGCGGCCCAAGTTCTCGATCTCGCTCACGAGAGAGGAGATCGAGGAGGACATCTACGCCGTGACGGGCCGCAGGGCTCGTCAACGGCCGAGAAAGCGGGCGAGGGTTGTCCAAAAGCAGCTCGACGTGAGTTTCTTCCGCCGACACTTACCTTCCTCTCTTCTTTGCGCGTCAGTTTCTGATGATTTTGGGTGACCTTCTGATCCAAAAACCCATTTTTTGCGTCAATTTCCCCGGTTTTTGGGTTCCTTTCTCGTTGCAAACTCGATCCTTTGGAAGAATATTGAATCTCTATGTTGGTTATCCTCTTGTCTCAGGCGTTGCTCCCCGGTTCGTGGCTCACGGAGATCACTGCCGACACGTACAGGGTTCCGGATTCGAGGTAAGCGTACCGTGGGTGACATGATACACTTTCTTTTTCGTCCACCAAACCTCTCCGGCTCTGTATTGCTCCTCAACTCAAAGCTTCCGATTCGATCATGACAACAGAGTCTTAGCTCTACGAGTAGATTGGTATTTTCTTGCGTCATAGTGTATCTCATTCTGCGAGATTGCTTGCTGTGCGATTGGTCTGTTTAAAGATTTATAGTGGGTGATGCTCTGGTTCTGATCTCATGTTACCGGTCAAGAAAACTGTAGGAATGCTTTCGTCATGAACAGTTGATGCGTTCGACTTGCTTCTCTTTTCGAAACGAGCTATGTTTTGTGCAATCATCTTCCTTAGTAGTGGAAGATGGACGCATTGGTAGGCGGCAGCAGCAAGGTGTGATGCGGGGTCAACCATGGCCGTCGGATCTGGGGCCGCGGTGGCGTTGAGCCGATGACACGGACGCGGTAGGTGGGCGGAGGGAGGGTTGTCGTCAGCGAGTCTCCTCGCTCGAACCGCGGCTCACGCTTTTACCGGGTGTGGACGCCGTCGTGCCCATGATCTCTAGCTCGTCCCAGCATCAGGATGTTGAGATGCACAGTGCGTGAAGGGGCACAAACAGCATCACAGATGCCGAACGATTGGACTCGATCGAAGTCTCTTCATCCTCTTCTAATGAGCGAGCCATCACGGCGTTGCGTTACCGACCTCCAGTCGCATCCAAATGGGCGCAAAGCTAGTCAAAAGTACAGAAACCTTTTCTTACATTACGTGGCTCCGTTCTTCGCCTACTGGTGGAGTACCGGTGGCGCATTGGGTTCGTTTCTTTGATGTGCCATCACACGATTGTGGGCAGGCATTCAACACTTGATTAGCCATCTGGCGCCACTATTTGGATACGGATCCAATCATTTGAATCCGGACAAGTCGAGCCTCATACCAACTTTTCGTCATCTAGCTTTATATATATATATATATATATATATATATATATATATATTGGTTGGACTGGAAACGAATGGTCCGTCGATCAAATTAGATTCGTGCACCGTCCCGACCGTTGGTCCTACTACAAGTACAGGCATCTCAGTGGCCATGTGTTGTTCTCTCTCTCTCCCTCTCTCTCTCTCATTCAACACAAGTCAGAGAGTGTCTGCACTCTCTGATACCAAATTCGCCCTGTTGTATAAACACATGAGAAACCAAAGATCTCCATCTCTAGCCGGAAAAGAACACATGCCACAAAAGCCTCGCTTGTTCATCTTCTCCCAGATTTCAGCCCTTTGTTCTTTGTCCTAACAAAGACAACTGAAAGAACAAAAAAAAATAGAGAATTTGTAAGACCAGAAAAGAAGAGGAACAAAGGGAAGGAGCAGAGAAAAAACATGCTGAGTAAACAATTTGACCTCGACTCTCATTCTCTTCTCAGGATGGAGTGTTACTCTACCTGTGAACAGTAATACTTCTCAGGGTCTGAACACTCGAGACTCCCTCGGACGCAAAACAAACAGCTGCAGCAAACAAGCCTCCCACAAATCTTCATTTTTTGCAATTAGTACAAAATATCACTTGCTTCTTAGCGTCATAATTACAGAGAAAAATAAAAAGAAAGACAATATATGCACTCTAGTAAAATCAATCAACTAATCAAACTTCGTTTTCTTTTCATTAAACACCCATTAGTTTGTCACCATTTCGGCATCAGCAGAAATCTATCACAGTTTCGTCAACCAAAGTCTGAAGTATGTTGCTCTCTATCTCCATGCCTGCCTCGAATGCTTCCATCATACAATCCGCCCACTTTCCAGCTGAGGTTTTCATTTCATTCTTGACCATATCATCCAAAAATTTCCCTGCCAAATCCATCCACCCTCTTATATCCTGGTGAACTTCTCTCATCAACTTCTCTCGGGTCAAAAGGAAAGTTAGTTTAGTATATGTCATGTAACCAGATTTGCACAAACAGCTATAATTGGAATCCAGGCACTCAATCATGCAATCGAATAGTAGCTCTCTGAGCTGATCTGTTTGATTAATCCCTGTGTAACCGGGATCACTTTTCGGGCCCATACGTAGAGCATCAACAATCGCTTGCAGCATGTCTAAAAGAAATGATTCTAGAGACATGTCTACAGAACCATCTGACCTGTCCAAGGTGAAAGTTTCAAACAACAAAACTGCACTCGAAATGGCATGCCTCACTTCACAAAGTTTGGTTTTTGAGAGCCCAACTCCATCGCTACAAACAGCAAAGTCGTTTAAACTCATGTAAGTCAAACGCCTGATCTTAGCTATAATAGACCTCCTGATGTCAACTGAAGAAGCTGAATCTAAAAGATCAGTGTCCAGATCAGATGATCGTGTTGTGTTGCAACTTTCTGTCAACCCAAATTGTAATTTGCTACCTGAAATCAAGTATTACCACCAAAATATGTTCTTAATCCACAATCTCAGAAGTCTATAAGCAATGGTTCATGCATCTATGTAAAGCACTTCAGCATCAGTATTTCTGGTAGCAAAGTTGATAATGTAATTCCATGGACAGTGTGCATGTAATTCATTATACGAATCTTATCAGGATTCTCGGTTATAACTTCTTACAGAAGCCAATGGCCATTCATCATAGTATCTCTATATTTTAGATAAAAAATTAGAAAATAATGATTATCTCAAGTAACCAAAGAAAATAAAACAATTTAGTTCTGTAACTTGAAATCATTTGGTGACTAAATATTGGAAACCTTGTACGTCCCATTCACCAATCATGCCATTAATAGAAACCAATAATGTAGAACTCTCTTGTATGTGCAGGAGACTTGCAGTGAGTGTCAGATGCCAGATAAGTGTGAGATGTAAGATGTGTGTTTGATGCTAATAGATGTGAGGGTAAGGGTCAGTACATATAGATTGGTATACTGTGTGGTGTGGTTTGTGAGAGGCAGAGAGAGTACGACAAAGAGTTGTAGCTTTGCATGATGTACCAAATAATGAATAGTGTATTAGGATATTGTTTATTAGAGAATATATTAAGTTTCTTGATAAGTGTTATAATATGTTTGAGAATGCCCTTTGTTTATTTAACAGCTATGGGGACCAGCTGCAATAGCTTGTCTTGTATTTAAATACTCTTAATTTAACTAAGGATATGACATTCTATATAGCTCTATGATGACAAAGATCCATGTAGTTGATCCCCAATAATTGAAACATTATGACTTTGTTATTGTTGTTTGCAAAGATACATGTCCATTCTGTCGATTTTGTATTATCTGCACGATTTGGTGATTGTTATTGGTTATCATAAACAAAAAGGCAAAAATAAAATAATATTATTTGCATAATTTGGATATTGTTATTTGTTAGCATAACAAAAAAGGTGTGATCTTATATATGGCCCTTGACCAATAATAAGAAATTAAAATCAGGACAAGCTAGCCCTTGCTAATTGAAAGCAAGTATATATTTAGCTAAAGACAGCACAGAAATGATGATGTCAGTTCTAAAAGCTTATGGAAAAGTAAAAAATGATCATAAAAATAAACACAAAAAAGTTAGAAGAAATGTGGTGTTGCCAAGATGAACATTGTCATACCTGAGTTGCCATTGAGACTTACAAAAGAGCAACTCTCATTTGAAAATGAAGCCTCAAGAATAGATATTGGACTAAGTTGATTATTGTCGACGGCCATAACTGCAGCAACACGGCTAAATTTTCTGTCCTCCTAAAGGAAAAGCAATCAAGCATATGTCAGAATAATCCATTTCACTAATCTTCTTACTTCATACAAGATCTATCAATATTTTCATGCTATTTAAGGTCCTAGTTAGCTCATATTGGTATTCAAAGTGATATCAGAAGAGGAAAATAAAAGTCTAGAAGGTTGACATATAAAGCAAGATGTAAATTTAATTTTCTAAAATCAATATTAAAAAAAGTATTTTTTTCCTTTTTTTTTTCCAATATTGTTATTATATTTTGTGTCAGTCTGTCCTTGATAAACTGTAATCTCTTGCTTAATTTAATTATTAGAGTGAGAAAACATCCAAAAGAAATATGTAGATGATTATGACAAAGTTTCTAGAAAAAGTATTAATCATGTTACAGGTCATGAGTGTTATCGCCAACCATAAGCAGTAGTTTCGTGTGCATTTGGTCAAGACAATATATTTCCTTACAGAAATTATGAACAAAGAACCTAGTTAGCTGATATTATGTCTGCGAGCATTAATAGAAAAACTAAGATATATATTCTCATGCCAAACTGATATGTATAATTCAGATTAGTGATAACAGATGAAGCTCATAACCCATGCTTGACAATAAACTCAAAAAATGACAACAGCAAGAATAATTTTTGTATTAGTATGACAAAATTTACAGATAGAGTTTCTCATAACAGCTCTGTGTGAGAAGAAACCAACCAAGAACAATCTCTCTTATCATAAGCATATACAAAATTTATAAACTCAGAGAACTCCTAACCCATCCATAATGACTAAATAAACAAATCACAGACTTGGCAATACTCACAAAAGCAAGTTATTAAAATCCAGAGGACTTTCACAACCTATGAGATGATCCTAGAAGTGATGTTAGTCCCTCCCAACTGAAGAAAGCCCTATGTATCCACAATGACAGCTAATCATTTTTCCTCTGGATTTACAAAAATTAATGAAGTCTAAGGAAGCAAAAGCAATTAAATCTTATTAGAAGCACTCTTAGATGACTGTAGGAAATGACATACCACCAGTATCTTTTTATGTTCCAGATACGAGAGATGAAAAACCTTATATTAGCGCACCTTTGACTGTGGGATAGAAAAATCAGACAAGTCTATGCCTTTCTTCAAAGATGCACCAGCATGATCATGATCGTTTTGCTCAGGTGTACAGGCAGCTCCCAGCTCTTCGAGAATGTAAGAAGCAGACCATGCATCCCTAGCTACTAATTCACTTCGATCCACGGAAGTCAGTTCCCTGATTTTTTCTTCAAGCAGGTTGCTTAATTCATTCCCGCTTAAAGTAGTACTTCTATCATATGTCAACTTTTTACTATGTGCATCCAAGGCTATGATATCATTCCAACCACCGTTACTAATGTGTTCGTTTTTGGTGTTGTTCTCGTGCATTTTTACGTGTGTGGATGACCCAGATACATGCTTCATTGGTGAATTGAATGTGAAAGAAACAATGTCATTGGCCCTGAAAACAAAATCATCACCATTATAATTCTTTGACTCACTTTTGATAAGTTTCTTGTCCAGAGATGTGTTACTGGTACGTCTTATCCCCTTTTGGTTACTCAAACGACTACCAACATTTAGCTTAGCACAGACTGAATGGAATACATCAACATTCTCGACAGTGAAATTATTGATTGTTCGTTTGCGTGACATGTTGTTCTCCAAGGTATTATCACACAATGCCCTTCTTCGACCTTCTTTTTCGTAGCCTGATTTCACACAGCTATAGCTGCCCATATTGCTGTCCGTAAAGACAGACCCTTTCATGCCATGTGACACATTGCCATCTCTTCTCCCTTGCTTCCTAGAACTAACCTTGGAACCAAAAGGTACTTTATCTCTTGTCATAGCTGACTGATTCTGCCTAAATTGATTCCGTCGAAATATAGTTGCTGATCCATCTGGCTTAATCTTGTTTGTACCTCGGTTGCGGCTCTCTGCTAAGTCCTTCGTGTTGCTTTGCATAGATGTCTTTCTGTTCCTGTTCTGTTCACCTTGCATGTCAAGTGATGTTGAACTACTTTCCACAAGAACAGTACGAGAGCAAGAAGCACGGCTCATTCCAAATGCAGATGAAACGATCTTTTGTCTCAGAGGTTCTTCCTCACGTTGTTTTGATCTCAATGTCCCACCACCTAAATTGCCATAACTCGTGCCAGACACAGGATCCCGGAATGGTTCATTAGAGTTCTTCAAGGTGGTATCAACACCAGTACCTTCTGCATCAACCGGCGAAGAATCCTTGTAAGATATAGCAGGCTTGGCCCTATTTTTAGACTGCAATCCAGGCTCAAGAATCTTGGTGGCAGCCTTGATCAACCGAGAACGATGATGACCCCCTGATGGTAATCTTGGGCTCTTCACAGGTGAAGCCATCTTGTGAAACTTATTCTTCGAGGGGGCCGAAAGCACCTTCTTGCCCAACACACCTGGCTTTGCTCGGCCACCATCAAGCGGCTGTCTTTCCAAGAATCCTCCAATCTTTTGTAGTTTCTGCGGCCTAATCTCCAACTTCGCACTCCCACCATCTTCCAGGCACAAATCTTGATCGACCCGGTGTGGCACCTGACCACTACCCGACTCGCTGTTAAGGCAGCAGGAATCTGTAGCCTTTCTCGGCCTTTCTTGCGCGACGACAGGCATGGACTCGAGACCCATCAGCCTGGCCACCAGCCCAGGAGTTCGCATCGATTTTCCAAGCTCGACCTCGGTTTCAGGATTCTTGTTGCTCGGAAAACATCCCCCGTTATCGTCATCCACCTAACAACGTTTTGACCCAAATGATCAAGATTTTAACGAGGGTTAGCAAGATCAAGATGACAAAGAGTGAGAAGCCAAACTCATCACATTACCAAAAGCAACTTCGCCAATGGCATCTTGTCATCGGTGCCGAACCTTTTCGCAGACCCTTTCGCGGCTCGAACTGAGACGTACCAGAACGAATCAACGATCCAACGAACCATACACTCAACATAGCAGAAGCTGATAATATACCTGGAGGGAGTGGTTTCCTGGAGGAGAGATTCTTCTTGGCGAGCCGGCGGTTCCAGTTCAGGAGCCGGAAGAAGATGGCGACGAACCCACCAGGCCGCCTGTGCTGCTGCGGCTTCTTATCCACGATGGCCAAACTCATGCCTGGTGTCCACCTAAACCTCAGGAGGCTCCCCGGAGAGAAGCGAAGGTAGCGGGGTTTTGCGACTCAACAGTCAAGAGAGAGGCGAGAGAAGCCAACGAGACCTTTTTCTCTCACCGTCTTTTTGGCAGTGTAGCTGTCAAGCACTATCTGATTCGTGTAAACATCGGCACGCATAACAAGGCGAACAATGGAACGGAAATGGGGCGATGCGATGATGAGTAAACAAATGGCATGCATGGAATGCAGAGAGCGGTGTCGGAGGGGCTTCTCTCTCGCTTTCGACGAAAGAAAGCGATGCCCCTCTCCCTCGGGCTCTTGCTATCCTTCTTCTCTCTTGGAATATTTCCTTTTGTTGTGCGTGCAAAGAGGGAGGGAAGGAAGAAAGGCAGAGGCAGAGGCAGCGGCAGCGGCAGCGGGTGGCGGGGGCAGCAGGTCTGATGGTTTTTGGTGCCTTCTTCTCGGGGTGAAGAAGGGAGCAGAATATTAGAAGCAGTGGGCGCCGAGGCCCACCGAGTGCTCGACGTAAGTCCCTGTGGCAGTAGGTATTGCTGCAGGACTCGCTTTTTTGCGGACCCCTTTCTCCTCTTTTTGTCATCTTAGGAGCAGCCACGCGTTTTGGGTCGCGCATAACAATTATGGTGGGTGTATATAGAAAAATGGTGGGGTATGATTACGTACACGTTTTTTAAAGTATATTAATGATCCAGATCAGATCCAGATGTGGTTTTGCGTCTGACTTGAGCTCAATCAATCGACATGATGAACCCTACTTAAAAGCCGGTCCACCGACTGGGGCGACTTAAGTCACGACTGCTCGATGAGGAAACGGTGCATCGCGCATCTGGTTGCGTGCGTCACGTGTCCACGAATGCTGCGCGGCACGAAGCCCTGCACCCACAGCGCGCCAAGCGTGCACATCTGACAGAGTCGCGAATCGTGAAGGGCGTTGGAGGGATTAGAGTCACGACACCGACGCCATCCGGCTTTGTCGCTCTCGTGTCCGTGTCGCGCGTGTCACGAGATGGATCACCGGACGGGGTGGGGCCCACGATGGAGGGCCCCGAAGCGTGCCTTGCGTCTGCACGTGATGCCAGATAAGACAACCGAGGTGGCCATCGCCCTTTCATGGGGTCCGCCGTGGCAGTACCATATCAGGTAAATGTAGATGTCCCCCTGTGCGTCCAATGAGATGATTAATTCGTGGGAAGAAGACTCCATGGAATGCGGCCACGGGGTGGTTCTTTGGGGACGAAGACTTGCTTATGAATTGCACTTTTCGAGGACCCTTGGACTGTTATGGTCCCTATAACATGAAGATAGTGAACCATCTATTTCTCATTGAAGGGCCACTCCATTGTTGCAGGGATTCATCTCTTACTCATTCAAGTCCTTTCTAACTTTGCACGATGTATCTCCGCAGTGTATGTCACAGACGTCTCTGTCTGTATAAACAGCTCACCAACACTACACCTCGTTCAAAACTAGAAGGGTGTAAGCTCCTCCTCCCAACGAGGAACCTCGTCCACGGGAAGGGAACGACTCTGAGAATGAATAAATAGAGATAAACTTATGGATATTTAAGTTAGTCTTGGAGTTGATATGTTATGTTGGCAAAGCGCCGAGAGCAGTAAACCGAAAGATTTGATCAAAAATTATAATATACATAATTATGTTTTAGATATTGACATGAAAATAATGATTTTGTTTCATCATCACATAGATATAATTGATATGCGAATCTATACACAACGATATGCTTGGTATCACTGGAATGACATGTGTCTGATATCTCATTATTATATGAACGATGATCGATATCTTGATGTTAGAATCAAGTCAAATCAAATCAATCATTAGATACATCCCGAATTCAATTAGTCATAATATCACGGTGGTAATTGAGCTCGAGAGTAATACACAATTATTTTCTATGATGAAAGAAAGTAACGATCTTTCGAACCATAAGCTAATTCAGACGTCATCAGGGGAACAGAGTAACATTTCTGATGTAGTTTTAGAGGTTTGACACGTTCAGAGTCGGACGATTGGATCGGATGTGGATCGGATCTATAAAACTAATTCAGACTCGAACTTAGCGCCGCGCTGAGGTATCGGAGTCCACAGGAACGGCACACAGTTTTGGGCTCCCTGCTGTAAGAGTCGTGCACCAATCAGATCCCGATGCGGTATAAGCACCGGAACCATCTCGTGCTCAAGTGCATCGCAGGGAACAAAAAAGTTAAAAACGCTTTTTACTCGTCCGATACCCAGTCAACACCGACCCTTACGTGGCTCCCAATTGGGAAGTTATGGTGATCCATCTCCTGGCGTTTGTGGATGGTGTTGATGGCAGTAGTCGCCGTCGTGGCTCGCAACAAAAATGAAAAGATTCTACTGATATTCTACAACCATCCTATTTTATTCTATTGCAGGTTCTCTGAGCTGTCCTCCTCCTCGAGTGGGAGAGTTGTTTGCACACAGATGCCGTTGAGTCATATTAACCGGCGTAGGAATAACAAATATTCTCAGCGTGTTTGGAGTTCCGTCACCGCTCTCTGAACGGGCACTGGTCGGCGCGGTGACACCATCCCATCGATCAAGGCTCGGTTTCATTCTAAAGCATGATGTGTTGCGATCACGTGGTCCGATCTAATAGTTCCTTGGAAGGGAAGACCACAAGTCGGTATGTGGTTTTGACGGTGAAGGGATCCGGACGGCGATTGCCGCTTATAAATCTGGAGTGGTGGTTGCGGTGGCGGTCGGAGGTGTTGGCATCGTTGCTGTAAATCTCTTCCTCGCCGAGCTCTCTGGTTCATCGCTCCCTCCTGATTAGGGATCCTGCACCGGTGGCGAGGATGGGGACGACGATCGCCGCCGATTGCCTCCACCAATTCGTGGAGGAGACGGACTGGTACAACGGGATCGTGCTGGACGCGCTCGTGCCGGGCGGTTCCTGGAAGCGCCTCCCACGGCCGCTACAGTCGTGGCTGCGCAACTACATCGGCGGCACCGCCCTTTACTTGGTCTCCGGCTTTCTCTGGTGCTTCCACATTTACTACTTGAAGCGCAATGTTTACATCCCCAAAGGTCTCCCTCGCATTTCTCTCTCTCTCTCCGTCCCCTTTTTCTATCAACTCGTTTGGGTCAAGTTCATCGCAGTCGTTGTTTTTGTGATCTTATTCTTCTTATTGTTTCTGGACTCTTGCTGGGAAGGACAAAAGTCGGTTCCCGGTTGGGATCATCTTTCTCTCCTTGTGCTTTTTTCCTCGGGCACTCAATGTTTGTTCTTTTTTCTCCTTGACGATGTTTCATCATCATGCTCTTTCTTTCTATTTCCATGACTTCCTTTGTTGATTTCTGCGGTCTAAGTGGGCGATTTCTTGGTTTGTGATTTTGTTCTTTTCTTTTCCCCTTCTCATTGCGAGGGAAAAAATAAATATAAAGATTGGGTTTCTTTAATTATCACATGTTTTCTGGTTACGTAAGTGACTCAAATGTTGTTCTTTCTTGACCTTGATGATGAAATGTGTTTTTTCTTGGATGGGTTTTGGGTTCTTTGGGTAGCATCTTGTGCTGCTTTCTTTTTCCACACAGATTGTCCTCATCTTGGACTGGGTGCTATTTTATGACAAATTGGCGATAGGTTGAAACCATCAGACCATTCTGCCTGGGCACGTTTGCACAAATATTCCTTGCCATTTATGTTGAATTGGTTGGTTCTAAGAAACCATCTGCATATATAATGTGCTTCTGAGAGTTATGTTCTAGTGGAAACTAATGTGGTTTCAGTTAGTCTAGTTTCAAGAATTATTGTCTTTGAGAAGAGACATCAGGCATAAAAGCTTAAAAGAATCATCTCTTGATTTTTATGAACCCTAGGTTGCTGGAAAGAACACTAAGCCTGACCTTTCTTAGATATTATTAGCTTAAATAAGACTGAGAAATTTGTGTTACCTGCTGGAATGGTTTTGCTAAATTTGCTACATTTTTTCAGTCAAGTTATATGATACTGATAGATTCAGTTCGTACTTGAAATGAGGTGAAAATACTTTCTACTAGGATTTAATATCTAATGGATGGTATATATTGATCAAAGTTGCCAAATGAGGGTACACTTGCTCACTTAAATGCATAGGTTATAAGATTGAATTCAGTTGCAAATTATTACTTTAAACTTGCCTCGTTCCCTGTTGTTATGCTTTTCCTTTATTGTAGGTTAAAATTTTGAAATTTTGTCTCAATGTTTTCTTAACAAAAACCAAACTTAGAACTAAGGTTACTGAGAGCAAGCCGAGTAGAGATTAACTTTTGGTCTTTGCATCAGATATTCATCGGAGAAGCTCGATTTTGAAGTTATATGATTAATGAACAGATTAAGAATAAAACTATCAATGATTTTCTGGATGTAAAAGCATCTGAGTCTCAAAAAATGGGACCTGCATTTAATGATATTTCAGTTATGCTTGTTTGACTAGGGACATGGTCATCTATTGCTTAATCCTTCTCGTGAATATCATCTTCTAGTGGAGACTTTAAAAATGTTATGATTTTAGCAGTGATGGAAAAGAATATGTGTGCTATCGAGAACCACTCTCAGACTTGCACTGCTGTGGTGGAAAGCCTGTTTGATTTGTCTTCCATATTGTTGAATATGTGTATGTTGATTGGGGATGAAGTACATCCTTTTCTTGTCTTCTTTATTTTTATTTTTTCCATCATTTTCTCTCGTTTGGTATTTCATTTCCGTTATTTGAAATGAAATGTGAGCTTTTTGTTGTTTGTTTTGAAAAAAAGAAGGAATTGATGGATATGACGTCATATGTGGCCGAGAAATTTTCACCATTGATCTGAAGATAGCCCCATCTTTTATTTGGTTGGATGACAATGAAGATATTTCTTTAAGGAACTTTCCTTTCAAAGAGGGACATTTTGTCATCTAGGAAGCTTAATTTGAAAAGCGATGGCCACGAGAGAGTGAGTAATTTGCAATTCTTTGTCCATACATAGTGGTTTGATGTTGAAAATGTTACCACTAGCTTGAAGCGACTTACAAAAGCACATCATTGCTGCAATTTCTCTTACCTTTTTGTACAAATAGTCAAATTTTTTTTTTAATCCTTTTGAATGAGGTCTGGAAGGGATTTTTCTTTTATACACATCCAGCACCTTCTTAGATTTTATGTTGCTAGGATCTAATGTATTGAGATGATCAAATTTTTCTCTGCCATGTCACATAATCAATACACTAACTGATGCCTTTGCCTACCGGGAGAGTTTTAAGGTCAGTCTCCTCTGCTAGTATGCTATTTTCTAATCCTCTTCTTATTTTCTTCGCTACTGCAGATTCTATACCTTCAAACAAAGCAATGCTTCTGCAGATAATTGTTGCAATGAAGGCTATGCCCTGGTACTGTATGCTCCCAACACTTTCAGAATACATGGTTGAAAATGGATGGACCAGATGCTTTTCTAGTGTAGGAGAAGTTGGTTGGCCAGCTTACATTGTTTACCAAACAATATATTTATTGATTGTTGAGTTTGGTATATACTGGATGCACAGAGAGTTGCATGACATAAAGCCATTATACAAGTATCTTCATGCAACACATCACATCTACAATAAGCAGAATACACTCTCTCCTTTTGCTGGTAAGTCTCCATACATTGCATTGCTTGTGTTAACATGTGATTCTGCTTTCAATATTTCACACATTGTTTAGGAGTTCTGCCAAAACTTATATTTAAAGTTGCAAGCTTTAGAGAGGAAAACTATGAACTTGTCAGTATCTGAAATTTTATTCTTCATATTTGTGAACCTGAGGTTTCAAATTGATATGATTTTTCTAGGAAATTGAATGTTAGATGACTTAACTTTTGTTAAAAAGAAATTATCACTCAGTCTCTTTCTCGTACATGTACTAACAAACTTATTCTAAATGCAGGTTTAAGTGTATGACAAAAAGGGTAAGCATCCATGTGAATCACTTTATAATGTGAATAACGCAATGTATACATATCTTCTAGAGCTAGTCGTGGTTGACAGATCTGGAAACATTTACAAGAAGCCATGATCTAATGCTACAGAGTTAAATTAATTACATGGTTGCTTGTTAATAGTAAGGACCTGTGAGTAGTCTTGGATTTACTAAATTTTGCTCATGTGTAACCTTTCCTTCATTTGACAGTCTGACTTTATACTGGCATTCAAGGTCTTCTCGCTTGCAAATATCACAACATTTCTCATTAATCTAACATGAAATCGGTAGCAACTGATGTTGCCTCTTTCAGGATTGGCATTCCATCCATTGGATGGGATATTGCAGGCTGTGCCACATGTGATAGCTCTCTTTCTTGTCCCAAGCCATTTCAGGACTCACGTACTTCTCCTGTTCTGTGAGGCTGTCTGGACGGCAAACATCCACGACTGCATCCATGGTAAGATTTGGCCAGTTATGGGTGCAGGCTACCATACAATCCATCATACCACATACCGGCACAACTACGGTCACTACACGGTATGGATGGATCAGATATTTGGAACTCTTCGAGATCCTGAGGAGGAATTCAAAAAGGCAGATTGATGCAGATCCAATGATTGATTCTTCCAGGTGAGTGAGCTGCCGAAGTCCCCATGTGTCCTGTTTCTGAATTTTAATTTAGCATTGTTGATGCCATCTTTAAATGGTCTTGTGTATGATTAATTGAGTTGCCTCCCTAACTAAGTTGGTCCTGTTTCTGAAGTTTAATTTAGCATTGTTGATGCCATCTTTAAATGGTCTAGTATATGATAATTGAGTTGCCTCCCTAAGTTGCTACTTGGAGATCGTTGTCGAATTGTTGACTCGAACAAAAACTTCATTAACTATAGTGAAGGCTGAGGGTCAGAGGCTATGTGGTCAACACGATAATGTGCACTAATTTCTATCTGCTTTGTGTTTAGTCATATTAATGTCGGTGCAAAATCGTAGAATCTTTCTTCTTGCTTCTTATCACTACCATCTGCAACATGTTTAGCCGAATAGACATTGGTGCAGCCTTTTTGTGTCTTTATTTCTTTGTCTTGATAGTCTTCCATCAGCTGTGTAGAAGATATTGGTGCAATTTTTGGCCGCCTTGTTTCTTTTCGTGTGCGTCGAACTCACGGACCCGATCCGTACGAACTGGACTTGCGGGTCGGGTCGGCTCTGAGCCCAGGGATTGTGACCCGTTCGTTAACGGGTCATGCACACCCAATTGGCCCATTATTTTTGTACACTACTGAGCCCAAATATGCACTAAACAAAAGACGTCGTGGTGGGTCCGCCTGCCCATGAAAACCGGTTCGGTCGCTTTCCGACGCGTTTCATTTTGCTTAAACCTTACGTACGGTCTTAATATAAGGCGCACCTTTGGATGAAAAAGTCGCCGTTGACTCCGTGTTTCCACAATAAGAAAGATTCTGTGTATTCTCGGTAAACCCAATTTATTAGAGTCTTTCACCACAATCCATCATCTATGACTTGTCTGCCGAGGATTTGTTCCTTGAAACATCTAAGCCGCGAACAAAAGAAAATTATGTGCTTTGATTTCCATTAAATTTATATGCAAATAAAAAATTTACGTAGATTTTTTATGCAAGTTGGACTGGGTGATCATAAACGATTAAGTATCGTTGTGGGATGAGCCTTTTTATCTGCAGAAAAAAACAAAGAATATAGTCCCAACTTATTTGATTGGCGAATCGTATCCTTTTTTTTCTTTCTATTAATTAAGTAATTAATTAATTTCTTCATAACATTTCTACCTCAATTTGTTAGGCAGTTTGAAATCTCCCACCTCAATTTCTTCATCCGTCGCGCAATCGATTGTGCCAACGCTAAATATTCCCACAGGCAAATCAACAGTGAAACCGAATCAGATATTTAGACACAATTCTTGCGAAGAAACGCAACTTCGATCCAACACATAGGATGAGATACTGCCTAAACCCTAACCTACTCCGTCAGATTTCGTTAATCCCAGCAGCCCTGTATCTCGGATCAGGCGGCGGAACTTGATGGGCCGCCGCGACCGGACGCGGAGGACTTGCGCCCGCCAACACCGCCGTTGCTCATCATCTTCTTGAACTCCTCGAAGTTGACGCTGCCGTCGCCGTCGTCGTCGAAGGACCGGATCATCCGGGAACAGTCCTTGACGGAGCACTTCTCCCCGAGGAGCCTCAGCACGCGGTGGAGCTCCTCCGCGGAGATCAGCCCGTTGCGGTCGAGATCGTACACGTCGAACGCCTCCCGCAACTCCCGCTCCTCGGCGCCGTCGTCGCGGCGGCGGCGGCGGTGGAAGTCGGCGAACTCCTGGAGGTCGACGAAGCCGTCGCCGTCGGCGTCCATCTCGGCGATCATGCCGCGGACCTCCGCGGGGGACGCGTCGGACCCGAGGGAGCGGAGGACGTCGGCGAGCTCGGAGGCGGAGATCCTGCCGTCGCCGTCGGCATCGTAGCGCGCGAAGACCTTCCGCAGGTCGTCCATGCAGTGAAGACCGGCGGAGGCCGAGGGCGAGGGCGAGGGCGAAGCCGGCGACGAGCTTTCGGCGCTCGACATGGTCTCTTCCTGTTGTGTGGAGAAAGGAATAGGATACGACATACAACAAGAGCCGTTTTTGATAGGGCATTGGATGGATTACGCGTAAACCTTAATGCGGGCGATGGGTTTACGCGTTTTTTTGGGGACGAAGGATGCAGTTTCGTGCACCCAATTGGTAGCCCTAATATTTTTACCATCCACCTGGCTCTCTAGTTATCTGACACGTAGCATACCGATTGACTTTGCAAAACTTGACCAGGACACGATGCGAGTAGCATCGTTGACGTAGCAACACTCGTCCACATCATAGGTAGAGCTCAACGGTACCCGTAAATCCACATGGAATCAAGGCACGATTATTATGATATGTAGGATATTAATGTCTTTTCCTGCTTGCAGGTACAGCCGAGGAGGAGTACGTTTAGCACAGGCCACGGACGGATCTTTACTTGATAAGATGATTCTCGAGCCTACTTTGACTGAGAATTATTATTGGATAATGATGTAGTTGACCTACTTTGACTGAGAATTATTATTGGATATGCCGGCCGTTCCTTCAGCAAGTAGTCGTCTTCCTCCACCATGGCATCAGCTTCCACGCCCTTAGCGTCCTCTATCCCTCGCAGTGCCTCCACAACCTCTTTCATGGTAGGCCGCATGTCGCCGTCCGCTTGCAAGCAGCTGAACGCTACCTCGGCCACCTGTCTTATCATCTCGCAGTTCGACTGACACCACAGATTCGGATCGACCAGCTGATCCAGCTCGTCGTTTTGGATCTTGGCGATGGCCATGTCAGCGAGATTGATCTCGTGCCGCCGCCTGCTGATGTCGACGGCCGGCTTCGACGCTATGATCTCCACCAACACCACCCCGAAGCTGTAGACGTCGCTCTTGTCGGTCAGCTGGTAGCACCGATGGTACTCGGGGTCGACGTAGCCGGGCGTGCCCTGTGGCGCGGTAGATACGTGGGTGGCGTTGACGGGGAAGAGCCGGGAGAGTCCGAAGTCGGCGACTTTGACGTGGAAGCTGTTGTCGAGCAAGATGTTGTTGGTCTTGACATCCCGGTGTATGATTTGGGGCGTGACGGCGTGGAGATAGCTGAGCGCATCAGCCGTCTCGATCGCGATGCTCATCCTCGTGGCCCACGGGAGCCCTGCCTCGCCTGCACGGGGACCATGGAGGTGGTCTGCAACAGTGCCGTTGGGCACGTACTCGTACACGAGGAGGAGATCTCGGCTGCGACGGGAGGTGCAGCCGTACAAGGTAACGAGGTTTGGGTGTCGGAGGGAGGAGAGTATGCGGACCTCCGTCATGAACTGCTCCACTCGCCTGCGGTTGTGCTCGTACAGTCGCTTGATGGCCACCGTGCGACCATCACGAAGATTTCCTGCACCGTGGAAGCGTCGACAAATGAGCAGACAGACCATTGGGTGGGGGGAAAATGTGAGGATACATTAATCCGGTGAGGTTTGCATGTGCCTTTGTAAACGGTGCCGAAGCCACCATCGCCAAGTTGATTGGAGGAACTGAAGCCACCCGTGGCCTTCTGCAGCTCCTCGTACTTGAAGACCTGGGTGACGTATCGTTCGCCGCCGAACTCTGGATCTTGCTCGGAAGTTGACCCAGAAGAGGCGGTCCGATGTAGCGGAACTGAAGAGATCAGCCGTTTCCACATCTCGCGGCGGAAGAAGAGAAGTCCGAGGAGGCTTACCACGACCAGGCCTCCCACGCCCACGCAAGCTCCTGCTGGTGACATTGATGGCAAAGGATGTGAGACCGGTTAGGAGATCAACCGGCTCAGAAATGTAAGTTTCTTACCAGTCACAATCCGCTTGTTGCTCTTAGATCCTGCCACACAATAACCATCACAAAAAGAAGTCAGCGCAGAGCTTAAATCATGATTGCAATGCTGGCAAAGACGATCATAAGAGAAATCATGACAGATACTGCATCAAGATGGAACGGTGGCTTTTGATCCCAACCGAGTTGCCGCAGCGCAAGCAAGAAGATAGATCTGGCATGTGAAACAGTATCATCAACTCTGCACTACAGCAGACTGATGCCTAGCTTGATTCTCTGTGCAATCATTTGACCCAATAGTCCTTTTGACCTTTCTTTTGGTGGCCGGTCGGTTATGTATCCCCTATACGACTGACCAATGGTTGTATTGGACAGATTGACTAAAAACCTACCTGGAAAAGGATCGGAAGGGTTGTCCTCCAAATTTCGTTGGACACATTTTGGGGAATCAAGCTGGTCCATCTTCTTCCTTGTTTTCCTGGCCCTTTGACTTGTAAATTTGAACCCCTTGATGAAAGCTTGAGATTGGTGTCCATGAGAAGACTTGAAAAACAAGGAGAGGATAGATATCATGTGTACAAAGAAAGGTGGTGTCTAAGAATTGCAGAGAGTGATTGCATCGAACAAACAAATTTTGAATATACCTAGTGAATATTTTATTTAGAGATATTGCTCCCACTCAGGAGTATATTGACTTTGGTCAGCAAGATTAAAGGATTCATTCAACATTGTTGAATGTAAATATACTATTGATGACGATAGTAATTATGATAAGACTCGGTTGACGTCAGATGACACCTCACGCAACAACACCTGGTCAATGCAGATCGGAACGTCGACCGAGGCATATTAACATCCTGCCAAAGTTCAATTCTTCACGCCACGCCAATAGGAAGTCAGACGCTACCAGCCTGCCCCCTGCAAGCGGGCAGCTCAGGAAGCGGTATGCTTCCCTATAAATACCCTTTCATTCATTAGAAAGAGAAGGGGAGACAGACACACAAAAACCCTTTTTCATCTGAAACCCCCTCCACATCTGCTAACTTGATCGTCGGAGGGGTCGGGCCGAGCGCCTCGGCCCGACCTTTGTGCAGGTGCGAAGCCGAAGGTCCCCACCAGACGCGCAGGCGAGGAGTTCCTGCCCGGAGGAGACGGCTACACCGTCCCGATCGGACACCGCACCCGATCGCCTCAACGGGCCCGAGGAGCGCCCTAGGGAGATCCCTGTCGTCCGGACCCGAACCGAGCCGCGTCGGCCCCGAGGCCACGGCTCAAAGTTGTTTCCCACAACAGATTGGCGTTAGAAGGAAGGCCCGGAATGTCGGGTGACTGCCCACCTGCGTCGTGCTCCTCGACTCCTCGGCCCCATGCGCGTGGCCAGCCCGCCTGCGCCGTCCTCCTCGGCTCCATGCTCCCCGAGGTCACACCATGCGTCGGCCTGCCCTACTAAGTGTGCTCGTCGGTCGCACGCTACTTGGGTCATCGCTGCACATCCGACCCTTCTTAGTTGCTAAACTCCACGATTCCCACACCTCCGGTAAGGCGCCCGGCTGGGACAGTTTCTCAAAGCCAAAGCCATGCCTCGGACCCCCCCTTTTACGGCATGACTTCCTTCGAGGGGGGAGAATATGATGAGGATAGTAATTATGATAAGACTCGGCTGACGTCAGATGACGCCTCACGCAACAGCACCTGGTCAATGCAGACCGGAACGCCGACCGAGGCACATTAACATCCTGCCAAAGCTCAATTCTTCACGCCACTCCAACATGAAGTCAGACGCTACCAGCCTGCCCCCTGCAAGCGGACAGCTCAAGAAGCAGTATGCTTCCCTATAAATATCCGCTCGTTCATTAGAAAGAGAGAGGGAGATAGACACACAAAAACCCTTCTTCATCTGAAACCCCCTCTACATCTGCTAACTTGATCGTCGGAGGGGTTGAGCCGAGCGCCTCGACCCGACCTTTGTGCAGGTGCGAAGCCGAAGGTCCCCACCGGGCGCGCAGGCGAGGAGTTCTTGCCCGGAGGAGACGGCTACACCGTCCCGATCGGACACCGCACCCGATCACCTCAGCGGGCCTGAGGAGCACCCCAGGGAGATCCCCGTCGTCCAGACCCGAACCGAGCCGCGTCGACCCGGAGGCCACGGCTCAAAGTTGTTTCCCACAACAACTATGACCATGTGTGACACGATCTTAAGCGACAGTGATCACTGGAAAGTCTTCCCTAATTGTCTCGATTCCAACTTAAAACTAAATCATCGTCAACAGAGAGGAAATTTGCATCAAGTTTGAAAGCAACATCACCAGCTCTTTGGTTTTGTTTGAAGAGATGAAAGAAAGGTTACCGGAGACCATCTACAGGAATTTGGTCATAGGTTGAAGCCAGGAAAACAACATCCAGTATAGAAGAAAGGACTAAAGGCGAAGTGTTATGGTTTAACTCACTGCAATTCCAGGGACTGTGCCGTCCGTCCGGGCAGATACACACGAATGACGCCGATGCATCGTCATGACTGCACCGTCCGTTGCTAAGTTTGCATTCCCAGCAAGCATCGAATTCTCCCCACTCCACCAGAAATCCATTCTTCAAGAGACGCTTGATGTCTTCTGTGCTACTCCTTTCTCTTCCTCCGTCTCGCAACAAAACCGGCGCCCTCGACGTGTTGCATCGGTTCGGTGGTGACGGCGGTGACGTCGAGTTGTCACCATAACGTCCACCGACAAGCGCAAAGGTGGCGTTAGGAGCACAGTCTATTCTTGTGGTATAAATGGTCGGCGGCGCCCAGCAATTGTAGAAGAAGCGGAGCTCTGTGTTCACCGCGCTAACTCTGAAGAAACCGGGGAGGTCCACCCGTATGTCGTAATTGGGAATAGCGCAGCCTTCATCGTTGAAATTTTTGTTCCTAACCCAAAAGGATTTGTTCCCGTAGAAGATGTCCTGAAGGTAGTAGGAACTGTTGTAAGAACTCACCAGAATGGGAAGACCATCCTCGCAGGAGAGCTCAAACAAAGAAAGTCCACCACAGGGAGGTTGCCGTGGGTCACGGAGCCAGAAGGGGTGGCTAATGTTTGTGACGCGGCCACAGCTCTTGGCCTCACACCCTGCCATGGCTGGTTTTAGCGGGTATGCGATGCAGCTCACCAAGAGCAGGAGGACGGGAGAGAGGCCACCGAACTTTAGCATCAGTGAGCCAAGCACAATTCGGCAGGGAGACAGAGATGACAGAAAGGGGCAAGAGGAGGAGGAAAAGAATGCTGGAAGGGGATGTTAAAGGATGCCAACACTTGGTCGGTCACCGTCGATGACTAAGTCTTTTGCTCTATGGACACATGAAAGGCTCGGTGGCTTGGCGGGAAGTTGTGACGACGGTGTTAGGCAAGTAGAAAAGGCTGTGTGAACTTGGAAAAGGCGACATTAGGATCAAAGCAGATTTCGTGTTCCACGGGAGATGCTTCTACTATGCTGAATAAGCACCAACAATTATGAAGGGCAAGTGCAAAGCAAGCTTTTCATATTTTTATTTAAGTCGAGTCCGTGATTTTGACAACATACTATTTAAACTTTTATGGTTACTCATATCTAAATTAATTTTTTATATTTTTAAAAATATAACAAAGCTCATTTCATTAAGTCTAAATTAATAGAAGTTAAAATTTACTTATACGATATACTGTTTTTAAAATAAATTATTTAATATAATAATATATAATTTAAATTTACTCCATTAATGATAAAATAAGATGTCGTCGGAAAGCAACCATTAATATTATACATATGCACCCTCTCTCATACTAACGATAAATTTATGAGTTTTTGACACTCTAGGTAACAGTAGCTCGGTGTTGTTGTAGTTGGTCATTTCCACGATAATGAATCATCTCGTCGGAGGTTTCAGTTTTTTAAAAGAAACTTAAATTATATATATATTATTATATTAATAATTTATTATAAATCAATATGTTATTTAAGTATATTTTAATATTTATTAACTTAGTAAGAACTTATATATTATATTTTTAAAAAAATATATATAAATTATTTTATATATGAGTAAATTATAAAAATTTATGAGGTCAATGACTAAAATGAAAGAAGTTCAAATGAATATTAACCTTTTATATGCCGGTGGATGTGAGAGATCAGATTTGACCGTGTCTTGTTGACTACGATCGACTTGGTACAAATGCCTCCGCGCAGCAATTGCAGACGCAAACTCGCCTCGTGTCTTTGCAGCAGAGTCTCTCTCTCGCGTGATTGGCGCCACATGATTCGATTTATTGATATGAAGCCAAGCAGACGTGCAATTCATCAAGACTTAACGTATCGAACGAGAAGAACTTAGTGATACACATGGTGGATGTCAACCTCGTTGGTGGCGCAGGCCATGACGATGATCGATGAGGGCTTCGGTGGTTCTGTGCGAAGGAGAAGAACAGGCGTGGCTTTGTAGCAAAGCAGCATCGCATCAGCAGGAGAGGAGACGCCTTTCCGCCCCTAGAATGAAATGAAAGCAGCAAAAGCAGAAAAAAGAAGAATGAAAGCAGGACCACTATATCTCCTCTTCCACACGCACCTTCCTGGTGCTGGAACGCTGCACGTAGATCCATCCGCTCCAGGAATTAATGGTCGTCCGGCGAGAGTTGCGGAGGTCCCAGTTTGCATTGGAATCGAGCAAGAACAGCGGCCAAGAATCTCGCGTTCGAATAATTGTGTTCATTAGATCTTCGAGGTTTCCTAAATGCAAGGTCAAAAATCTTGTGCTACGAGAATCTTTTACGTTTGAGGACAAAACTCGATGCTTGAGGATCAAATTCTAGTTTCTCCGAGATGTCTCTGAATCATCGGGTGAACAGAAAAGACACTGCTGACACAGCATTCATACTTTTATGTGTCCATGGAAAACGATCTGATGCGACTTGAGCTCCGAGACTTCGACTCCGTGCTGCCTTAAGCCCCCATCCTTTTCCTGTTTCTGCGTTGATTTGGTCTGATGGTCATCCTTACACCACTTTTCGTTTGAGCTCTCCTGCGAGGATGGTCTTCCCATTCTGGTGAGTTCTTACAACAGTTCCTACTACCTTCACGACATCTTCTACGGGAACAAATCGTTTTGGGTTAGGAACAAAAATTTCGACGATGAAGGCTGCGCTATTCCCAATTACGAGATACGGGTGGACCTCCCCGGTTTCTTCAGAGTTAGCGCGGTGAACACAGAGCTCCGCTTCTTCTACAATTGCTGGGCGCCGCCGCCCATTTATACCACAAGAATAGACTGTGCTCCTAACGCCACCTTTGCGCTTGTCGGTGGCCGTTATGGTGACAACTCGACATCGCCACCGTCACCACCGAACCGATGCAACACGTCAAGGGCACCGGTTTTGTTGCGAGACGGAGGAAGAGAAAGGAGTAGCACAGAAGACATCGAGCGTCTCTTGAAGAATGGATTTCTGGTGGTGTGGGGAGAAGCCGATGCTTGCTGGGAATGCAGACTTAGCAACGGACGGTGCAGTCATGACGATGCATCGGCGTCATTCGTGTGTATCTGCCCGGACGGACGGCACAGTCCCAGGAATTGCAGTGAGTTCAATCCGATCACCTTAGTTATGGCTGTGTTGTAACTGTAGCATGGACTAATTCTTGTTTCCGACGGTCTCTGTGCTGCAGGAAAGGGCCATTTCGCAAAGAGTATTGCAATAGGTAAGAAACTCTCATGGGTTTTCATCCTTCTTTCGCCATGCATTCATGCATCGTTTGCTCTCCTCCACGTTCCAGGTTCGATGGCAGGAGTCGTGGGTCTCCTGCTGGCCTTCGCTGCAATATTCATCTACGTGCGGAAAAGGCCCAACCCCTGGCTCAGATCAAGAAACACACGCGAGGGACACGGACATGATTTCCTGGAGAAGTACGAATCCCGGGTCCCCCAGAGATACAAGTATCGGTATCTAAAGAAGATAACCAAATCCTTTGGTGAGAAGCTCGTGCAAGGTGGATTCGGAAGCGTGTTCAAAGGTCAACTTGAAGACAGTCGTCTGGTTGCTGTCAAGATCTTGAGCAGATCCAAGGAAGACGGGGAGGAGTTTGTTAGTGAAACATATTTACGCCGTGGCCTCGGGGCCAATATGGTTGGGTTCGAGTCCAAATGATTGGAGATCTTCCTGAACGACCCTTGAGACTGCTGAGGTAGCCGACCGCGGTGGTCCGATCGCGACGGGGTCACTGTTTTCTCCGAGAGGGGACCCCTCGCTTGGACCTTCGATGAGAGGCACTCCGTCTTCGTCCCTGCACACAGGTCGGGTCGAGAGAGCTCGACCCGACCCCTCCGACAATCAAGTTAGTCAATAGTCTCAGGGGGTTTTTCTTATTTTTCTCCCCCTCTTCGATCCGAACGCGAGGGTTTTTATAGGGAAGGTCACTATTTCCTGATGTGCTCGCTTGCAGGGAGCAGGGTCGTACCTTGATAACGTTTGACACCGGCATTGGCGTTTCGCGAAGGACCAGGCTCCTGCAGGATGGTGACGTGCCTTGATCGGCGTTTTGGTCTGCTTCGGCCAAGCGCTGTCAGGTCAGACCGAGGCAGGTGAACCCCGTAACTCCTCGGTCTACGTGACCTAGGAGACATCACCCGGGAGCAGATGATGTTAGTTCGTGTCCCAACATTATTATTACCCTCATCATTCCCCCCCCGGAGGGAGCCATGCATTGACTGTGCTAAGGGGGTCCGAGGCGTGGCTTTTGCTTTAAATGGTTGTTCCTACCGGTTTGCCCTCTGGTCAGTGTCGAGGAGATTTCCTAAAGGGTGTTCCTACCGGTTGGCCCGTCGTCCTGTGCAACGTGTGACCGTGGGGTATGACTTGAGCAAGGCAGAAGACTCGGGCGAGCAGGTGGCGCCGAGGCGTAGGAATCATGTAGTTTGTGACCGAGGTATGTGGCTCATGCAGGCAGGCCGCGCAGAGGTGGACTCGGGCAGTTCGTGGCTGAAGTGCACGACCTAGGCGGGCAGGCCGTGTAGAGGTGGGCTCGGAACACTGCGGTCGAGAGGCACGACTTAAGCAGGCAGGCCGCGCAGAGGTGGACTCGGGCAGACTGTGGCCGAGGGGCACGACTCAGGCGGGTAGGCCGCGTAGAGGTGGACTCAGGCAGACTGCGATCGAGGAACACGACTCAGGCGGGCAGGCCGCGCAGAGGCGGACTTGGGCAGACTACGGCCGAGGGACATGGCTCAGGCGGGCAGGCCGCGAAGGACTCGGGCAAACTGTGGCCGAGGGACATTGCTCAAGCAGGCAGGCCGCGCAGAGGTGGACTCGGGCAGACTGTGGCCGAGGGACACGACTCATGCGGGTAGACCGCTCAGAGGTGGACTCAGGCAGACTGCGGCCGAGGGGAGCGGCTTAGGCGGGCAGGCCATGTAGGACTCGGGCAAACTGCGACCGAGGGGCACGGCTCAGGCGAGCAGGCCGTTGGGTCGCTGGTTAACGAAGCGTAGCTAGGCTCGCAGGGAGCCCATTAAATCTGAAGATAACACCTCGGGCTCCGGGCAGGCGCTCAGGTTTCCCATTGCTCGATCCTCGAGCAGGGCCGATCGGACCTGAGGCGACGCGGGGAGTTCCGGAGGTACCGTGTGAGCCCGAACGGGCGACTCTTGTTGTCGTAGTGGTTGGATCGTAGGTGGGTGCGTCGGATGAGAAATGAGCGGGATAATGGTCTGCACCATCCCAGTCAGAGCTTGGACTTGATGAGCGAGGTCCTGAAAGGCCTCGGGCGATACGGGCGACGGGTCGATTGGGGCGCCTTCGGGCGGTGACAAACCCGGGTCATTGAATAACCGCCAATAGCGCTCTGAGGTCGCGACGGGGTGCTCAGCTCGAGGTTCACCATGCGAGGGGCGTTCCCTCGGAGCCCTGATCAGGTGCAACTCCTCAGTTGTGGGTTCGTCTGGGTTGATCTACCGATCCCTCGACATTCGGGCCCTTCCTCTAACGTCAAACTGTTAGTGTCAACATCTTTACGCCGTGGCCTCGAGGCCAATACGGTTGGGTTTGAGTCCGAATGATTGGAGATCTTCCTGAACGACCCTTGAGACTGCTGAGGTAGCCGACCGCGGTAGTTCGATCGCGACGGGGTCACTGTTTTCTCTGGGAGGGGACCCCTCGCTTGGGCTTTCGGTGGGAGGCACTCCGTCTTCGTCCCTGCACACAGGTCGGGTCGGGAGAGCTCGGCCCGACCCTTCCGACAATCAAGTCAGTCGATAGTCTCAAAGGGTTTTTCTTATTTTTCTCCTCCTCTTCGTTCCGAACACGAAGGTTTTTATAGAGAAGGTCATCGTTTCCTGATGTGTCCACTTACAAGGAGCATGGTCGTACCTTAGATAACGTCTGACACTGGCATTGGCATTACGTGAAAGACCAGACTCCTGTAGGATGGTGACGTGCCTCGGTCAACGTTTTGGTCTGTTTCGGCCAGGCGCTATCAGGTCAGATCGAGATAGGTGACCCCCGTAACTCCTCGATCTGTGTGACATAAGAGACATCCCCGGGAGCATATGACGTTAGTTCGTGTCCCGTCGTTATTATTACCCTCGTGAGAGTTCATCAACGAAGTCGCCAGCATCGGCAGGACCGCCCACGTCAACGTCGTCACTCTTCTGGGATTCTGCCAAGAAGGTAAGAGAAGAGCGCTGGTCTACGAGTACATGCCCAATGGCTCCCTGGAGAGGTACATCTACTCCGATCCGCCCGAGACATCGCTTCCTTGGGACAAACTGTACCAGATAACAATCGGCATCGCCCGAGGGCTCGAGTATCTGCATCAAGGCTGCAACACCCGCATCGTGCACTTCGACATCAAGCCTCACAACATCCTCCTCGATGAGGATTTCTGCCCCAAGATAGCAGACTTCGGGTTGGCGAAACTGTGCCCTAGGAAGGAAAGCATACTCTCCATGGTGGAGGCAAGAGGAACGATAGGGTACATGGCGCCGGAAGTGTTCTCCAGGAGCTTTGGAGCGGTTTCGACCAAATCTGATGTCTACAGCTACGGAACGATGGTGTTGGAAATGGTGAGAGGAAGAAAGAACATAAAAGCACGTGCAGATGATAGGACGAGCGACGCATGCTTCCCCCACTCGATTTACCAGTATCTGGATGGAGGTGAAGATGACCTGCGAGTTGGTGATGTGACGGCGGAAACGGAGGAGATCCCGAGGAAGATGATGTTGGTCGGGTTGTGGTGCATACAAACCGCGCCGCCGAATCGGCCTTCCATGAGCAGAGTCGTTGAGATGTTGGAAGGAAGCGGGAAAGCATTTAGTAGCGTAACAGGACATCAACTTGCACGGCTTGTGTTGAGTGCTATCATCAATCGCGGCAAAAGCCATGGCGGTGGTGGTTTTCCCTCCATCTCCTGTTGGGGGCACAGCAGCGTTTCCCACTAGCAGAGACACGGGAAGAGGGACGAATGGGTGGTCTCTTGGATCGACAGAATCAATCACTACATTCCGAAGATCTCATCATATTCTCGAACGGGGAGATTCCGATTTGGGGTCGGAAAGAAATTCTAATTGGATTCGGAATAGGATTTAGTAGTAAGAGGAAGAGTCCGAAACTCGGATGATTTGGAGTCGAAGTAGAATTGAAGTTTCAGACTCGCGTTAGGAATTGGTCTCGTCTTCTCCCTATTCGCCACGAGCTCCCTCTGCTCCGACCATATCCACGGGGAAGAAAGGATGGCAGATCGAAGGAGCAGCAGCAGAATGCCGTGCAATTGTCCCCTTCTTTCCTACTGTCATCCATCGATCTTTTTCGTTGATTTCTCTGCTAAAGAATTCGTACTTTTCTTCTCCCCATCGATTCTTTAGTTGCGTATTCATTCATGATCATAAAAAGGGTTGTTTGTTTTGTGGTTGGAGAATCTCTGGCTCGTTAAGAGTAACCTAACACAATTGCACAGAGAATACACCACCTTTCAGAATGGCAATCCAATCCGCTTTCCACTCGCCACCACATAAACCCCTTGTCAAGGAAGCAGAGAGAGAGAGAGAGAGAGGACAAAGTGGGAAATCATTCGCTAGAGAGAGGACAAAGTGGGAAATCATTCGCTCTCCCTGTCGTTGGGAGACGGGTAGAAGCCAGAAACAGAGAGGTCACCGTGCCATACCACATAGCCAAAATTATGGAGCGAATGCGACGTCCAAAGCTTGAAAGAGAAATAGGTAGAAGAGGGCAGAAACAGAGAGGTCATTTTCCTAGAAGCATGGAGCGAATGCAACTTCCGAAGCTTGAGAGAATGCCAACACAATGTCATGGGTGATGAAGATCCTCGACTTCCCAAACGATCAAGATCTGCCGCCACATGAAAAGATTAATCCCCAGGGATTCGGATTCGGATTCGGATTTGGATTGGGTTAGTTCGTACGGTTGTCCCCTTTGCACGAGGCAATCGGGCAGTTGAAATCCAAGCTTACGATTCGTGGATCGGATGTTTGACGTGTCTTCACGAAAAGTATGGAACGATCTAACAACAGATAGATTTTTTAGATCGATGGATAAATTTATTATTTATTTTTTTATTAAATGGATAAAAATAGTTTGACTTCTTTTATTATCTTTTTTTAGTGTTTGTTAATTAATAAAGTGCTGATTTTTAGTGGAAAAATATATCATGAAATTTGATGCTTTTTAAATATATAATAACGAAGAAGTAAAACATTTTATTCGGTGGTGCTCTCTCCGATGACCGCACTTCTCCTAATTCGCAGGGCGGGCGATCCTTCTCCACCTCTATCCCGTTCCGAGCATGATGACATCGACAGCGCCGACCGCCGTATCCGTCGGCGCCTCAGCCCCCGGCTATCCGAATTCCGTCGACTCTTCTCCGCGCTCAGGCCGCGGTGACTCCTTGAACGAGCCTCTCGCTTCGTCCGCCGCGGCGGCCTCGTCGCGCCTCCGCGTCATGTGCAGCTACGGTGGCCGCATCGTCCCCCGCCCCGCCGACAAGTCGCTCTGCTACCTTGGCGGCGAGACCCGCATGGTCACCGTCGACCGCGGCTCCTCCTTCGCCGACCTCTCCGCCAAGCTGTCCCGCGACCTCCTCGGTGGCCGGCCCTTCTCCCTCAAGTACCAGCTCCCTAACGAGGACCTCGACGCCCTCATCTCCGTCACCACCGACGAGGACCTCGAGAACATGATCGAAGAGCTCGATCGCATCTCCGCTGCCACCGCGGCTCCGACCTCCCCCGGAGGCGGTGGATCGAGGCGCTCTCGCCGCCCCCGGCTGTTCTTGTTCCCTTCGAACCCGGAGTCGGCTCCATCGTCCTTCATGGGGTCATTGTTGGACGAGTCGAAGTCGGAGACGTGGTTCGTGGACGCCCTAAATACCGCGATCGGCGGGATGGGCATCGACGGTCTCCCCTGCGGTCGTTCCACCGACTCCGCCTCCGTCGTCTGCCTCCTCGGCCTCGAGGACGACTCTTCCGTCCACAACCGCAGCGGCGGCGGCCAACAGCCGGAGTCCGTGCAGGTCGTCCTCCCCCACCGCGACTCCTCAGGCACGCTCGTCCGCCATGGCCAGAACCTCAACTCCGTCCCCGGTTCGCCGATGCTCGATAAATCTCCATCCTTGGGATCCAACTCGTCGACTCCATCCCTCTCCAATCTCCCATCCATCCTTGTTACCACCGCCGATCTCCATGCCGATCGCCACATCAATGGTGTGGACGATCACTTCGCCCACATGAATCCCTCAACCGACAAAGAGCCATTGCATGCCGTCCGCCACCAGCCCCCTCCGCCCCTTCCTCTCCCAATCGCTTCTGTTCCCACTCCCACCATCTACCCAACGAGTAGAGACTTCGACGACGACGACGACAGGTCCAACCACGGTGGTAGCGTCCTTGAGCCGCCGCAACCTACAAAACCTGGTGATCCAGTGTCAAGGTATCGTCTTTCTTGTTCACTTACCTCTCTATAAACAAAGCTGTAAATTTTACCAAGATTTCGGATTGTTTATATTGATTTCTTCATCCAGGCTGACGTACCTGAATGCAATCTCGGATCCCAAGGTCTCCTTTGATCCTACCTATCGTGTTCCGGTGCCGGTCACGGGTTGTGTGTCGCCACCGACACAGGCAGAGCATATACTGCAGCACCAACAGTCTCAGCCACAGTTCATCCCGCCAAATGCCCGTTACATCCACCACCCAGCGGTCGGGACCGTCCTCCCCGTTCCTTCCTACTACCCTATCGCAGCCCCTCCGGTGCAGCAGCCAACACCGACCCAACCATTCCATCCCCAATTTCGAATGTGCTACGTGCCTTTAGCTGCAGCTCCGCCCAATTTGGGGGATCCCAGTTCTGTACCACCATCAGCAAAGCTGGCTGTGGCAGTGCCTAGTGTTCCAACGAAGCCCGAGTTGCCGGTAAATTCGTACATGTCGGCACCTGCACCTGCACCTGCACCTGCTTCGTTGCAGCCGCAGCTGATCCGTGTAGCTAGCAATCCTCACGCGGGAACAGGCTATCATGTGATGCAGCAGCAAGCCCTCCTGCCTCGGACACCAGCAACATCGGTTACTTACGGTGCTGAAGTCGCCGCCACACCCGGCCATCCGGCGCTCTACCACGCTCGGGCCTTTTCGAGACCGGTAGTGATCCCTCAGCAGTATCAGACAGTGTGTTCCACGGCTGTGACTCGTCATGCCGCAGCTCCTGGAGATTCCAACACATCCGGAGCATCATGATCACGAATCAGAACCTTGATTAAAAGAAAGGATTCTTTGTTTTTTTGACTGGAGGGAAGGGGTGTCTTGATCTGCTGCTGCTGCTGCTTATGTTGTCAAGCGCTTTAGTCTCTCTATTGAGATAGCAACAAAGGGAATAGGTTTGCAGTCGAGGGTTTCAGGATCCATCCCTCGACTGCTGCTGGGGCCATATTCCTCATGTTGATATATCGTGGTATTATAATAAAGTTGAGTCATTCCTTGAAATGGAGCTCAGCTGGTTGTACACATTAAATTCTGCTACTCCTTTTCAGAACAAAATCTCGTTTGCTCGTCTTTCTTAATTAATGAGATGCAGTTACCAAATGCTATTCTATTTATCTTCTTTCTTTGTTGTTGTGAGGCTGAAGTAGTAACAACAACAAATTGATTTCGGGATAGCTACGATCAGTCTACACGAGGGAGGTTGGTTGGATCTCTTAAATTTGATTGGGCGTTCACCAAGTTGTTCATGAAGGATGGGACAGTTTACAGCTCCTCCGAGCATGTGAATGGCCTACTCATTTCATTCTCATCACCAAAGTTATATCTTAATACGGAGGACACCATGGTCATGTTTTCAGCTAGCTATACTCCCAAGTCTGATTCTAGCAGATCATGGTTGTTTGGTTGCTAAACATGGGTTGTAATCAACATGAAAGGCTTCATCCAGATGCAACATCTCCACTATTGCACATCAAGGACTAAACTCTCAGTTTGTGAGAATTTAATGGCACTGCCAAATAGATATGGTCAGGAACCAACCATCAGATCCACCAAGAAAAGTATCCTCTGGAAAATATCATACAATATTTGCATGAAGGAATAGGCAACTAAATGCAGCTCCATAATTAGCCGGACTGTCATAGTCAATCCATGCTGCCTAGATACCAGGTTAGTCTCAAGCGAAGCTAAACAACACTTGAAACCAAAGTCAGAAGAATGACAACCCCAAAGAAGAAGTGGAGCACAAGATTTGTTCATGGCACTTGTAATGTGTCATAGTAGTAAAGTAACCTCACAAAACAAAACGCAGCCCTCTAATTTGCAATCTTGTAGCAGCTCAGATGCCAATCAGTGCATTAAAGGGGATGATCAATCTCAGGGGAATCAATAACAACAGATGATGTCTAACCACGAGCAACCATCACTTACAATGACCCAAGTTGCATCTTTGCAAGGGCCATCACCATAGCTATATCTCACAACTATTTCTCGCATCGGTTTGGCCTCTTGTTTGAGGTAGAAAGGACTTCCGAATAGAGGCTAGAATTGATACCCAACTACAACACTTGGGTGGATACAACTTTTAAACCAATAACCATGTAATCATGCATGCATAAACCATTCAATCTAGACAATAAATACAGTCATCAACAATTGAGTGTATCTATCTGCCTATCAAATATCGATAGGATCTACTGAGCATGTGGTGACTATAAAATGTCTTCCTAGAACTATTAAATGGGCAAAGCAGAAAGAAGAAAGAAGCGAAACAAAACATATGCACTGAATTCATAAATGTAGTTTCAAATGTACTAACAAAAACAGTGTTTTCATCCAACATATAAGAGAAATAAGACAGACTTCAATGCTTTACTTCGAGATCTAAAACTCCAGTCCTAAAGATCAAGAAAACAAACGCAACCGCATAACGAAGACAGAAGAAATCGGATAGATGAAATCAATCGATTTCCTGGAGAGAGGGCGCACCAGCGGCGGCGGCGGCGGCGGCAACCTCGTCCGCTGAGAACTTACCCTTGGCCTTGTCCGCTGCACGGCCGCGGGCCTTGCGATCCAGAAGGGCCTTGCGGTCCTTGTCGAGCTTAAGCTTCGTGATGACGACCTTGGAGGGGTTGATGCCGACGTTGACGGTGGAGCCGTTCACCTTCTCGCGGGCGATGCGCTCGACGTGGATGACCCACTTCCGACGGTAGACCTGCACGACCTTGCCCTCGCGGCCCTTGAAGGTACCGCGCACCACCTGTACCTCGTCGTCTTTGCGCACCGGAACCGACCGCACGTTGTACTTGTTCCGCAGGTCGGCCGACAGCGGCGCGCTCATCAGCACTCGCCGGACGCTCGATGGAGCCGTGAAGTGCGCCTTCCGGCACTTCCTCCGGGAGCTCGACACACGAGGGTTGTACTTCATCGTAGCCGGCTGCGGCGATCGAGGAGCTATAGGGTTTCGGAAGAGGAATTCGGCCAACGACGAAAATGAGGGTATATATAGGAAGCAGTGGAAATCTAGGGTTTCAAGGGATGATGAATCCATAATGACTATAACACCCTCGCGCATCAAGAGGCGATCACCCGTCGTAGGCACGTGAAACCCACGTTTCTCTCCCTCCCTCGTTCATCACAATTTTACCACGCACCGATTGCCGGAAAAACGAAAAAGAAAAGAAAACGTTTGGAATTGTTTGGGTTCGATTTTATGGTAATCGTAGCACCAAAGTGTCACCGATCTCATTAAAATGATTTCAATCTTTATGTAGGTAATAAGTCTGAAGAGCACAGCTCTGCTTCGGATGACTCTTGGAGACTATGTTATGTTGATGAGGACATTAATAATATTTTTTTCCCTAACACTTACTAAGGAGATTAAAGTATCATAATCTATCTCATGGAAGTATATATAACTAACAAAAATAATGCGTTAACTTCGACTGATGATCATTTATTATTTGTGTAGGAAAGCACATTAGTCATTTGCTTCACCAACAAATCAACCGCCGGTCTACTGTAATATGACAAACATTTCTGAACCCAGCTGCAATTGGTTTTTAGCTGACGTCGATGTCAAACGTTTACCCCGAGACCTACTTGAGACAAGCAAAATACCCGACTTGCTTCGATATTGTACATGAATTCACGCAAGGCATTAACAAAATTGTGTGGTTTGCACCAACCATCATGCCTTACTACATCCTATTAATGTACACACTTCACCGCACAAACATGCAAACTTTTCTAACAACACTCACCACCTTGCACTATGATAAACAGAACACGATCATGGCTTGCATCAGTTGCAGACTCCTGGTATAGTCAGTCACCTTGGGCCAGTAAATTCTGTGTGCGACCGGATCATATGATCGGACAAGTTTAAAAGCCATCTGACTCTGGTATTCAAAGAATAAGTTATAAGTTTTCCGTCTTCGTTTAAGAGATTGCTAACGAGTATTCGAGGTGCTTGGAAAACCATTAGAATTTGGTGCTTCCATCTCGACAAGCATCAGCTTCTGCCTCTGGTACCTATTTCTTTTTGCTGCAATTGCTGATAGTGGCACAAATAAGAATGCAGTGAGTACAAAATATAGATGAGATAACATACAGTTTCAGTTGAGATATTTCAGATGTAGCCATAGCGAATCAATAACTTAATTATGCCCCCTAGAGGCTGTTTAATCAAGTTCAGAGATCATATACAGAATACATAGAGTTACAATATGACTTCAATGAACGAACATGATAAAACAAGGTGATCAAAATCTTTTACTTTCAAAATAAAATACCTCTGCAATGAAGCAGGTCAAAACACATTATCGACAAACTAGAAATTAGAGCATCCTTTTTTTTATTAAGTATAAAAAGATTAATGGGATGCTAATTCCTCATTCATACTAGTTAAAAGACATCGAGAACACCTCACTATTCCCCGTTTATACTTCTACTGGTCCATTTATGCAAATCCACAGATAATTATGCAAGTCCTCAAGTTTCAGAATATAGGAAATACAATGCCTGAAACCAAGCTAACATAAAAGATGCAGTTTCTAGAAAATTTCTTCATTATGATAACATCTTTATTTGCTTTATATCCCTGCTACAGGATCAGCTGAGCTGCCACGTGTTATGCCACTGAGATAATGGTTTCTCCTATGTGGTTGTAGCTCATTGAATGAATCAATTGAAATGTTCTACAACCAATGTTGATCTTCGGTCTTCCTGGGGAAAAAAGAAGGAACCAGCACTCACCATCCCATATATTACTTCCAATGTCAACTGCTTGAGATTCTCGGTTGCTTAAAAGCCCTCCTGCAATCCATTCCTGGTTTGTGCTGCATGCTCAACTTGACACATATCTTATCCAGTCTCAGACTTAGAACCATCTGTATATAGTATTTTCTCTTCTTAAGATGATAATTACTACTATCTGACCTGCTACCCTGGATGTGTTGCTAGCCAGCTCTTCTCCTATTACACAAGTTATTTCTTATATACTATCTCCACCTGATTGTTCAACTAAGACTTCACTGGAAAGGAAGAAATCTAGAAAAGGAAAGTAATTACATTTCTCAAAGTGTTAAGTATGGATGAGGAAAGAAACAAATACAAAGTATGTTTAAAAGTCAAGGAATTAAAATATGACAAACTATGTTCAGGCATAATTAAATTAACAATACAAGGGGCAAACAATTATTATATCTATATCCTTCCTGTGTCTCAATTGAAGAATCCCAGTTCTTCTCAATGGAATGGCTACTTTGTCAAGCATAAAGCAAATTCTCAGAAAGAATTTAGAATAATGTTTAAAGTTACTTGTACTCACATATTAGGTCTTGAGGAAACTCAAAATCATAGTCGTCGTTTTGCCTTCTTATGCAGAACAAGTAAATTAGGAGTAGCACGATGACGACAAAAGCACATGATAAACCAATTGCAATTTTTCCAGCTGTGGAAAGCCCTCGTTTGTCCCAAAACAAAGGGCAAGCAGGCAAAGTAGGTACACCACAGAGGCCTTTGTTACCTGAAAGGCTGAACCAAGAGTATATAATTATTTTGCTAAACAAAAAAGAAGCAAAGAAATTGATGCAAAGTTATGAAACTGCAAGTATATAACACATTTCTGTGTAGTACAGCTATGTTTATCTCTCTACATTGATGCATAAAGGAAGATAACAAACATATTTACCTAGTTCATATATGTGTTACTAAGCTATTTGGTCACTCAGGCTCTGGCCGGTGTGACATTTATGTAACTTTAGCTTTTACACTATTCTCAATTCTTGAACCTTGAGAGAAGCCAGAATGAATGTGTCTAATATCAGTAGGCTACATATTTGTGTCAAGTAGTTCTATCAATGAATTTTTTGTGTGCGCATGCGTTGATGATAAGCAACTCTGTACTGGAATAGATGCAACTGGTTGAGAAAGCCTTTGTAAAATACCCTCAAGGTCAAATCCAAGGATTTAAATCAAGGTTAGTTACCAGTGTAACCTAACACACTGGTACACTAGCAGTAATTTGAGCTGTACACCAACCAATACAACCTGATATCATTGAATAAATAATTAAAACAAGAATGATATTATACTGGTATCAAACTATATGTTTCGAAACCAACACTTGTTTCAACGGGAAAACACTGGTTTATACCAACCGGTACAGTCAATATTGAAACCCTGGTCATGACACAAAGATGTGTAACAAGAACAGCCACATGATGCTACAAGAAACAAGTAACATTTCAAAAAGCATAATGAATGGAAGGAAAATTGCTGGATAGCTTACTCTATGATTCCACCATGTACACCAATTGAATAAAGTTTCTCAGGAACTTGCCCATCCAGTTGATTGTTGTTTAATAAACTGCATAAGAAACCAAAAGGTAAACTAGATAATTATCATGATACTAGGATACATCCAAAAACGTTCCAGATTAAAGATACGAGTCAGAGAAACGGCACCAAGTTAAAATATCTAAACATTTAAGAATCATATATAAACTTTTAAATATTTATAATGGTTGCATGTCTTTAATGCATTAGTTATCGGTAAAGTTATTTATAGCTGACATTTATGTAAAAGCTAACACAAGTTAGTTCGAATATTCATTTTATTTTGTATTTTCTTCTAGCTTATTTTTATTTTCTCCTCTTGCCAGTTTTTTTCCTCTAATTCGTTCAGAATAAGGTGGCCATCTCACTGTTGAATATATAAATAAGTCTACAGCTTGTGGTTAGGGAAATTTCTGCATAAACTGGGTTTCAGTCTAGTTAAGGCCAGTGAGGCAGAGTCTCCCCATCTCCTTATAGGGCAGAGACATCTCTCTCTAAACAATGCCTCTCTTAGGATGTGCTTTGAAAGAGCCAGCTCCAGCTGGTATATGGCCAATTCAAGCAAAGTCGGACAAGTCCAGCACCATGAACCATGTCATATATCAATTCAGGCATGGGGGTGAATTCCTAGGTTCAAGTAACATAGGTATATAAATATCTACTCCAATCATATTTCATTAGCATTTTAATATGTCTAGGCAAGAGACTGGTCCTTTAATATAATGGTAAGATTGCTATTTTATGACCTGGGTGACCAAGAATCGAGTCACTAAGTAACCTCTCTACATATAAGGGTAAGGTTATACACACTGACCCTCCCCATACAGTCAATCTTTCCTATGAACTGAATTAACAATCTATTCTGAGAACTAAAACACAAGCAAGGCAACATAATTGATATATCAAGAAGAACAAAGTCTGATTTGTTAATTGAGTCCATGAGATGCAATCGTACAAAGCTTATGTTTGTTTTCATATGATACATTGTCCTTGTTATCAACTAAGACATGGACTACATGAATAACCTGTTGAAACTGTAAAATTTCCAAACAATAGTGATAATCAAAGAGAAGCGATCAAAATAATTAAAAGCTTTGCCTCATGGATGAGAACTATAAAGAATATTAATGATTAAAAAAAACTACAGGAGCAGATTATCTGTCTACTCACACAACTTTCAAATTTGAAGACCCCAAGCTATCTGGAATGCCACCTGTGTGCTGATTTGATGACAAATCCCTGATTAAGAAAACAAATTCCAGTTTTATGAAGAACAGAAGAAAATGACAGATCTGCTGTGCAATCATCCTTAGATAGCATCACAATTTTGCTTTCAATAACAAAAACAGTAAGACTGATAATATATAAAGGGTATCTAAAACCCATGTGATCTCTATAAAAAAACTACCAGATGAATGACTAACATTCTTTTTGTGTTTCCTAACATTAACATGATAACTTTTGCATGTAAAACATCAATGCATAATGTAACAATCTCAAAAGTTAATTGTTTATATCAAGATTATAACTATGGATGTGATGGGAAAAGAAAATATAAAATTAATTAATCCACTATACATCCATAGAACAAAATAGCACAATATTTCCCACACTCCATGTCCCCTCACTTCTTCATATGGCAATGTCCAGAAAAATGATTGCAAATGACTTATACTGGAAACATAATGATGCCTATCAGATCTCTTCATGAAAATCAAAATAAAAAGACAAAATATTCTCATTGAACATTAACGAATCCTACTGGGAACACAATAATGCAGTATTTACTGGTTCCAACGTATTAAGAATGAACGCCATAGTTTTGCCTACATTGTTGACATGTGCACATTTGAAAAGTAGCCCCAAGTTATGTAGTACTGACGTCAGTAATTCATGCAATGAATTAGAAAATTAAGGTCACACAAGAATCTATCAATATGCAACCTTTCTAGGTATAGCCCATCAAAATGATCTCCATTATACGATCGTTTAAGTAGAAAAAGACAAGTCTTTCTCCACAAAAATTTGTTTTTTCAGTTCCTAGGATATAAATATGTCATATGGATTACATACTAGAATCTTTTAACCAATTGCAATGTGTTACTGACAATAAGAAGCAGCAACTTCATATGCCTTTTATGAAAAGAGACATGAATATTATAACTAGACGATGGATATCAAATATCAACTCACAAGCTTACAAGAGATCCTTGACCTAGACCTGATGGCAATGTTCCTCCCAGAGAATTAGAGCTCAAGTTCCTGTCCAGATTTTTAACTGTAAGCACATGAGATAAGGGATACTAAGAACACATGACACATATATAGAAGTACTAAAACTAATGAACGTGCTTTATGAAAACCAACATGATCAGTTTGAGTATTTTGATCAAGACAAATGAAAAGCTATACAAATTCCAACTCAAAAATCATTCCAAAATGCTTGTTTCATTAGACAATATTTTAACAGGTTAAAGTAAGAAGAATAAGTTAAGAGTAAGGAAAGCTAGACTATATGACTGCAGAAGATATGTAGACAAAAACCAACATGTTACGAGCAAACCAAAGGCCACATGGAAGTAAGTGCACCATAATCAAGATAGATTCTGGTAGAGGAACCTCAGGGACTTAACAAAATCACGGTGCTCAAGAAAGATTGGAACCAATTTCTTTTCAGTTACAAAACAACAAGAAGAAATTTTGATAAAGTAAAATTAATAAAGTAATTCTAAATCAGGAGTTCATGATTCCAATGTAGCTTCCTGAAAAACACCAAATTAGAAGTCTATCATCCAACGGTAATATTCTACACTTCAGTAAAACAGAGAACATCTTGCATGAGAAATAACAAACTTCATTGCATGACAAATAAAAATGTCAAGTCATGCCAACTAGGCATCTGCAGACGGCAGACCCTTGGAAAACATGTCAAGTCATCATCCTCTGATGGTGACCAAGAACAGAGCTGTGTGATAAGAGTACTAAACATAGTCTTCGGACTCTGTCCTCGGCTCAAAATCCTTGGTCCTTTGCAGTGCCTGGAGGTTTGCACCGCGTGAAAAATGGCATGGTTGCCACATTGGACCAGGCAATATAAACCGCATCATTGTAACTGTGTATTAATTTAACGTGAAGGTATCAGGACATTAGCAACATTTCTTCATTGTCGACTTGCCAAACAACGACTGGGTCAATGGCCATGAATTACTATTCATGTTATATGAAGTTCCTTTAGTTCCACCTTATGTAGTTCCTGGGGTAGCAGCATCTTATAATACCCAATATCAAGTGTTTAATATTTTCACATCCACCTATGGTCCTCAAAGTATAATTCAGGTTGACCTTTGTAATTTATCCAACAAAAGGACCATATGAACAATATGAATGGTACATAAGCAGCCATTTGTGACTTACTTCTGCTTGCATATGCACAAAAAATAACAACTTTAAAAAGCAAATTAGCAAGCGGGAAATGGTACACGGCAACTTAACTGATACTTACAAGCTTACCAAGTTTGTTAGAAGACTTATTTGATCACTAATATAACCTTTCAAGCCTTGACTGCCCAAATCCCTGCATGTTAGGTACGTAAGGGAAGGAAAAACAGGTTAGACGTAACCATATTCAAAATCCATATAGACTAATTACAATTTGACAGAAGTAACACCAACAAGGACGTGCACAGATTCCATATAGACCATGATGCATAACATCCATGCAAACAATACAATATTAGAACATGACATGCTTGTTTTTTCAATATATATTAAAAAAATGACATAAAATGTTCCATGCAATTAATCACAAACAAAAGAATCATACTGAAAATCAACTATAAGGCAAACGGACAAGAAACATCTAATGTATCAACAGGGAAATTTAATTGCTACGATGTCATAAGAATAGTGAAGAACAAATGCAGATTAGAAAATAGAAAGCAAACATGCAGAAACTAAGGAGTTACAATGATGCATCAGTTCATAACCAATATCTAAATGAGCTACTTCGAGCACAAAACATAACCAAAATCAGAATAGTGAAGAACCTAACGAATCAATAGAGGTAGTGGCAGGTAACAGCAATGACTGGTCACGCAGAATAAACCGACTCTAGCCAGATTTTATTTGTGACTTACACTGTCCACTAACTAACTAGGCAGTGCCTTGATCTATTGTTCTGGCCCTTAAATGTGGATCTAGCCATGTAGGAGGTTCTAAGGAGAATCCAATTAATGCAAACAAGGAAGATACATTTTCTAGCTAGGAAGCACGACTGCATAATGCAACCATCATTCACCTTATTCAAGAAAAAAGGAAGCACGATTAGCCAGGAACCAGCCAATGCTTCTCCAACTGCTTCCTATCTGCAAGATACAGCAGATGACAGGCAGTCCAATAGGAAAATTTATTGCCTTCATAATATCCTTGTTAGCCTAAAAATCTCCTTTTAATAATTCATGGTATTTTCATTTAAACTGGGGGAATTTCAAATTCTCACTTGCTATAATGTTAAAAAAAACACAGAGCATCACTTTCCACTACTACCAAACATTGCTAGCAGATCAGAAGAGTATGAATCAAGCATCAATAAAATGCATATGCTATGAGCCGAAAAGGATTGTGTTACTTACAATTGGGTGACAACAAGATTCTGTCCGTTGTCACTGTGATGACAAGTTACGCCCTCCCAAGCATCCCAGGTGGAAGGTGCACAAGGATCCCCATTCCATCCCATCCTGTCTGGTATCCGCAGAGATTCCTTCAACGCCTGCATCGCCATCACTGTCAAAATAACCACAAGAAACGGATGAGGCATTCGTCAACCTGATGTACGCCATGCTTGGGTCTCCGAGTCCTGAAATCACGCACGCACCTTGTCTTGGAACCGTGGCAAGATCCAGGGGCACCATTGCGTAGTTCTCGAGCCCACAGATGATGGGCTTCCCCGCCACCGGCACCAGCTTCACGACGAGCGTCGTGCTTGTCAGGTTCTCCACGATATGATGCCACTTGAACGCGTTGAACCCTCCCACCTCTTTGTAGATGTCGATCCTGGTCGCGTTTTCCTCACCGATCACAACGTCGAACACCCTCTGCCCGACCCTGGTCACCCCGGAGTCGATCTCAGCGAAGTGGAACCAGACCATGTAGTCGAGCCTCGTGTCCACTGGCAGCAGGTACTCGAGGGCGTCGCTGGGGTTGACGGTGGTGACGGCGGTCTCGTAAAGCTTGACGGGGAAGTAGTTGGGGGCCTGGTTGGCACCGAAGATCCGGTGCCCGCCGGCCGAGAGCGCCTTGATGGGGACGTCGAGGCTGCGGAAGTCGGCATCGGACTGCCAGACCCGAGAAAATGCGTCGGAGTCATTTGTGAAGCCAGGGCCAAAGAGGGTGCCGCCAGAGGTGAGGCGCCCGTAGTTGATGAGGATCATGTCGGTGCCAGTGGAGGCGGAGCCGTAAGCGAGGGGGTGGACGGCGGCAAGCTCGACAGAGGCGACGACAGGGGGGTCAGTGGCGATGCTGTAGAAGCAGAGGTTAGCGGCGCCGTCGAGGACAGACGCGATGAGGTCAGCATAGGCGCCGGAGCGGGCGGCGGCCTCGGGCCAGGGGGAGCGCCAGGAATAAACGAGGGTGCCCTCGAAGGAGACGTCGAAGCTAGGAGTGCGCAGCTTCGAATCGTAGTTGTCGTAAACGGTGAAGGTGCGGACGTAGTAGCGGCCGGAAGGGAGGGGGACGGAGTAGCAATTCTTCTTACCGGCGGATACGGGGGGAAAGAAGCGGAGGGTGCGCTCCTGCTGCTGCAGGAAGCGGTGGGGCTCGGCCACCAACCCGGTGGCCCCCGCCGAGAAGTATCGGTCCGCCACCCACGCACGCCCGAACTCCGACGTAAAGTTGGCCGCGCCGCCACAGTCGATGTTGAGCGACACGCCTACAAATTGGAGATCAACAAAGATGCGGTGAGTCGGAGGAAGCAGCGCCAATGTGGGTGGGGATGAGCTTACCAGCAGTGAAAGGATCGGGAGATGAAGCAGGATTGGTACCACCGGAAGCAGAAGAGAAGAGGAGGAAGACGAGGAAGAGGGCAGACATCTCTCGATCCTCGATGCCAGCCGAGATGGAGACGGGAGAGAGTTGGGGAGTGTGGTAGAAGACGACGACGAGTTAATCTTGGCCGTTGATCCCGCTGGAGATGCAATGAGTCCACACAGTAGTCACGTGATGGTCGGGAATGATCAGCTGTCTTCGGATTGGATGGTTCGGCCAAAACACCAAATAGCCAAAATAACGGCGATGGAAGGGGAGAGGACAAGATCAGGGAACACGCGGCTTTACAGCGCACTACCTAACATTGGGCCCACACCCGAGCCGGGTGGGTAATGACGTGCCTAGCTGTAAGGCATTGACGCGGAGATCAGCTGTGACGCTTCGAACTGCAACGCCGTTACCACCACAGCGTTTCATCGTTTCTCACTCCCGACGTCGTTTTGTAGCGGAGTTGGCACGTTATGTGACGTGTCGTCCCACCCTTTGGAATAAGACCGCGTGTGGTGCGTGGTGCGCATCACGGGACGGCGACTTCATGCCAACCATTAATGCGCGGGGGCCCCGCTTTAACTGGGACCACTCAACCACCAACCCGCTATGACACGATGATTGATCGATGGACGCGGCAGTCCAATCATACTCGGTTGGTCAGATTCGACTCCCAAAACGAGTCAATCCGGTCTTGCGTTGTGAAGCCGGTCTCGCCCGATCCGCATCATTTGACCCATTTTTCTTTGACCTCCGTGCCTCATTATCCATATCCGATTAGGTTCTGATGAAGCCAATTTTAATGATATATATACATAGATATATTGATTGAGACACGAATTTTATTTTAACTCTTGTGAGCTCCGTAAAAGCATATATGAGGATAAGAATAACCTAATAAATATTATTATCGATATTTTTAACGATACTTTCTCCCATCAGAGTCAAAGGATCAAGACTCTCATTCTAACGGGATGAGTTATATTTTATCGTTATATGTGTGATGGGCTCATAAGAAATTTTTTGCTCTGTACGGTGGGTATACTCGTACCGATTTTATCCTTTTCGAAACTCGTAAACTTCAAAAGATACCTTTAAGGATAAAAGTGATTCGTCAAACATATAAGCTCTTAGTTCTCATACTCCTCAAGCAATATAGAACTAAATAGCATCATCAATGCTCCCTCCTATACGAGAGCTAAGGACTCAAAGCTTTGTTTTTTGTGCTAAAATGTTATTACCATGGTGTCATTGACCAAAGAGTTAACATGACCTAATTTAGTCTCGAAGGCACAGGTCAGTCAGAGGGATCCATACGGGACTTGGGGGGGATGACCTGAGTAGGAAACCGAAGTGATAAGTGTTATTCAAATGTTTGTCTTAACCCTGGTAGAGGGTGTTCTGCATCCTCCTAAGGAACGCCTTAGCGATGCTGAGGTCCTACACAAAAGTTAATATCGGAGGGATGTCCTAACCCGATCCCTCCGATGCTTAAGTTAATGGTGTGAAAAAGTAAAGAGGGTTTAGTAAAGCTCACAAGAGTATAGATAGAGCTTGATTGCCCCCGTTTAGCCTAGGGGTTTGACTTTTATACCTAAGTGGATGGTGATGTGAAGCTGGTAATATGTTATGATAATCCTTACTTTGTTTAAGGTATCATTAATGGTGACAACTTATGAACACGTCCTCTCAAGGATGGCATCAGGGGAGTAGGACCATTACAACATATTTTGCTTGGGCTCTTAGTCTATTTGGGATAAGTAAGGGATGATCTTCTGCATCGTTCGTCCGAAAGGAGTTGGGGGAAGTCAAGCCACACCGTAGAGTTTTAATGCGTATGTGCAAGCCTTCCCTCAATTGTGGTTGAGGATACTAGTGGGCAAAAGGCGAGGTGTGAACCTTATTCATCTATTGGTGACTACATAGTGTATTTGGGAATTGTTTATCCTTTCACTTATGTGGCTTTATAACATAGGTGGCGAAGTGAGTCAACAACAATATTATTTTTCTATCAAGACTCTTTTTAGATTGTAGGCGAGATGAGTCGACGGACTCGACAATCTAAGGGACTCATCCAATAGGATTTATGTATAACTTCTATGTCGAGTTTTAAATGGGGAGCTATGCGACTCGAGTCTTATGACTAACAGCTACAGAAGGGAGCCATACAACGTATCGATCGTGAGATTTACACGCACAAATGAGATGTTAGTGTTATTACAAAAACCTTGTTCCATCGCTTGAGATCAAATGCTTGTCGTAACTCATTTGTAACCTCCAAACTCAGTTATTTTTATTTTTATTATTTAAAATAGAAATAAAGCATGTATCTTAATAGATCACAAAACTTATAAATAAAATATTATATTTAATAATACTTTGTTGTTAGCACACCAACTGAAAAACTTCAAACAAATATTAGTTATAATAGCGATTGACCTCGCAAAACTAACCGTTATAATTTTTAATGCAACTGGACGGATTCAGTACATGTTTGACTATTGGAATTACAAATCTCGCAACATTAATTGAACTGAAGTCTACACCAGCGGTCAACGAGGCGCAGAAATTCATATCATTCAATATCAATCTTCACTCGGAGAGTGGTGATCATTTCAACGCTGTGTATCTTAAAAGGCGAAGCAATCGAATCCTCCCTTCTTGTCTTGGTTTACACATTTGATGGGTAGCATTAGTTGCGCAGTCAACACAGAGTAATAGACGTCACGTAATATTTTTTGCATGTTGCCAAAGATACGATGTATACCAATAAACGTAGCTACGCGTATACTCTGATACCTAAGGCTGAAAAGTAGCATATACTTGTGGATGAATATGGATCACTACAAGAACTAGCATATACTTTTTGGATTCTCCCTCGAGCAATTCGACATAATCCACCAAAACTAGTGACTATAGATCTCCCAACCCCGGCCGGAATCTTAAGAAGATTCCGCTAAGATTCCTTCCACGAAAGAAGATATCATCCGTCCGGAGCGACATCAGCCCCCCAACGTGTGCTGAAGTCAACGCCAACGCATCGACGCGGAATCCCACCGCGGGAATATCCGAAGCCGTCCTCATCTCTCTCTTCTTACGTTCCACCTCCCTCTAATCTCACGCCGCCTCCTGTCGGAGGGAATCGAAATCTTCTACGTGACGCCCCGACCGTGATTCCCTTCTCACGGCTTCCTTCTTTCCTCGTCTACCGAGTCTTCCGTTCCTCGCACAGCCGTCAGAATATTCTGCTCTCGCCTGCTTTAAACACTGTTAGACGCAGCCGCACGCATTCACAGCGGTGATGGATCTATTGGGGCGAGCGCAGCGATGTCAGGACTGCATCAGAGCGCTCGAGGAGGAGCGCAAGAAGATCAAGGCTTTCCAGCGAGAGCTGCCTCTCTGCCTCCACCTCGTTACGCGAGGTGTATTTCGTTACCTCTCGGTTCTGAAGTGGATTATGGCGCTTAAATGGTCATAAATTGTGGTTGCAGCGATCGAGAGCGTGCGACATGTTATGGGTGATGACGAGAAGGTGAACCATGGACCTGTCACGGAAGAGTTAATACCTCCGATGTCGGAACAAAGAAGCGAGGCTAAGAAGAGTGCAGCGGTCGGGTCCGAGATGAAGCTTAGATCCGTCCAGCTCCGGAATCAGGAGCCGGACACAGTTCCTAGGATGGTGAGAGACTGAATTGTCTTTCCTTTTAATCTTAAGCAGTTGATTTATGCCGGTTTTTAGTAGCGGGGGTTTTGATGTTGTTGATGGAGCGTAGGAGCCACCAAAGAAACCTATAGTAGCGATCTCGAAGAAGATCGGCAGCGCATTCCAGCCTTTTCAGAGACAAAAGTACGTCGTGCCACCACCGGCCTCATCGGCAGCTACTGCCATCCCCGCAACTACCGATGGTGATGGTGGCCGTGATTATGGTAGTAAGGAAGGAAACAGGGAGAAGAAGGAAGAACAGTTGCAGCCTCATCGCAAAGCAAGGCGCAGTTGGTCGCCGGAGCTTCACCGCTGCTTCCTGCACGCCCTGCATCAACTCGGTGGATCCGATGGTATAAGCCTAAAACCTGAACATCTCATTATCATGCCTTGTTTCTAAAAATTAGATCTCTTCGACGGCATGCAGTCGCCACGCCGAAGCAGATCAGAGAGCTGATGAAGGTGGACGGCCTCACCATCGACGAGGTCAAGAGCCATTTGCAGGTGATCCGTTGGATCCTTCACCGATTAGATTCTCACTGTCGCTCACCACGCTTTCTCGTACGTAGAATGTGCTTCCGTGTCGTCCTACTGCACTTGCAAGGCATCGGATTCCTTCAGATGATTCGCTTCGTATTCTTTATTCTCCTTCTCGCGTTTCCATGGCTTCTACCATAAATGTTTCCCCGATAAATCTTCTGCGACGTGACCAAACATGATAAGATGGAGCACTAATCTTTCTTCTAGATCGACATCTAAAATCTTGGATTCCCATTGTCAAGCTGCATTGCCTTTTAATATCTCGGTGGACCCAGTAATTGCCCAAACCACTCGAGCCCAGATGGTGACAGATTGATTCCCATAAAGCTGTAGTAATCTTCTAAGCATGGTTTAGGTGGAATCGGATACGTAGAACAGGGCATCATTCACAATGTTTTCTACAGCAAATTTATGTTCAAAACATACTGAAGGGTAGGTATTTTGATCAGAAATATCGGCTGCACGGAAGACGACGGAGCCCTGCAGTCCAGTGTAGCAGCAACGGCAGTCTCGCGGTGAGTCCGCAGGTTGTGTTGGTCGGTGGAATTGTGGTTCCATCCCCGGATTACAACATGGCGGATGCGGCAGTTGCTGCTGCAGCACAGCCTGCGAATGGTGCTCGTGCTCCTTCGAACGGAATGTACGCCCCGGTGGCATCGCATCCATCGGACTCGAGATATCGGCAGAAGCAGCCGCAGAGATCCATCACGCTCAGGTGGAGATGACGATAGCATGGGGGATGATGGCATCAAGTCTACGTTCCTAACCACCTCTGCAGCTTCCCACACTAACGACGGCTTCACCTCCCTTCTCATGAGTCTACGGCGATAGAGTTATGTTTCCTCGGTTTGTAACGGAGCTTTCTCATCACCTCTGCAGTCCACGGTAATAGATATATGCCAATGGTGGTTTATATGGCACGACCAGAAACGCTCGTGAATGCCACGCATGAGAAGGAAGACTCCATTGCAGCTTTAAGTGCGTTTCACTTTCTCTCGTCACCTTGGCTGAGAATTTGGCAGTGATTGTTCATCATAAACCTCAACCTTACTAACGGATACGCGCATCATGTGCATGCCCCCATCTATAGCTTGTTAATTATCACTAATTCATCCATTTATTTGTTGATAATGCAATATAATATTAGAACATCTATTGACATGTGATCCCCTATTTGATCATTTTGCAATCATTGTTCTCATGTTATTAATCATGATTATTGTTGGTGAACAAATACACCGTGGCTAATGAGTCGGTACGGTTTGGTTCACGGGTCGATGTCGGGAGTCTCAGGTTGACTGAATCGGTTGTCGAGGTCGGTCGGGCCCTTGCGACGAGTGTCGGTGTCGTGATGTTGAGTAGCGTCTCTCGGTCTCCAGGCTGGTTGGCAGCTCGCCCTCGTGCACTGGATGACAACTCCCGGGTTGAGACGTTCACGGCTCGAGGTTGGCCGCTTGCTTGCACAAATGGCCTTCGTTTGGTGATCCCCGACTTTGGCCCCTCCGACGAGCAAGTTAGTAATCGATTCTCTTCTTGTATGTCCTCTCTTGGCCGGATGCCGACAAAGGGCTTTTATATTATTGTACGAGGGTCGGTCGCACGCAGGTTCGACGTGGCGATTGATCCTTGGGGGATGAGACGGTACTGTGTGGTTGCTGTCCTGGGACATGCGGGACAGTGTCAGACGGCACCGCCCTGAGATTTCGGGACGGGACATGCTAAATAGCGCCTCAGTATGGATTCTGACTTAGCGTGTAGGGGTGCTCCCCTTGCTGGCCCGACTGTAGCGCGGCGTGGCATCGGTTCTGACATGTTTTGGACCCAAAATATACCTTATCAATTATCAACTATCCCACGCTGCAGTCATTTACTCTTAAATCATCACAAACAAACAATATTCAAGCTCGTGACATGTCTACGATCCCATTAGAAAGCTACCAAGTTATATTAAGCTATTTGTAGTAACAGTAGCAATAATAACAACGACAATAATTATATGTTATATGTATGTATGTATATAAAGAAACACCAGAGGTGTCGTACCAGGCGAAGATGGCAGATGGGGCTCATCGTTTCTGCAAGTTGGTGCAAAGCCAGATGCAGCTTTCGGGCCGGGAAAGCAAACTGGCAGCGCGAGTTGGTATGCTTGCCGCTACAAGTGGTAATCCACATATGCAACTAGACAACACCATTCGAGAGCTCGACGAGAGACTGCAATCGCAAGCTGGTGATCGATGCGAACCACTCGTCCTGCCCAATTCTTGTGCATATATGTACGTAGAATCGTCAATATAATATTGGATAACTAGATGTTTGATTCATGAACAATGACTGAAACCGACACACGAAGCATCATCCGCCATGGTTAATTTGATTCGATTGTCTGCAGTTGTGAGACTTAACGTGGTACGTCTAATGGACCAATAAGGATTAACCTACGCGTTCTTCCGCTCGACCTCTGTGGTGAGATGATCCATCTCACGAGACACCGTGCGTTTTCCTCGTCGAAACGATGCACACAAGTCGATTAAAGTCAACAAAGAAACGGAAGCCTCATTGTTCTGGCAGCTACCACTCATCACCGCCCTGCCGTTGCATTTACTCGCAAATGACTATAGTTGAGAAGACTCTCTTGCCAAAGACACATGTTTGCCATGTCGGATCATAAGCAAAGTATCCGACACATTTTGCTTCTCGAATGCGAGCATGCAGTATTAGACTGGAATGGTTTTATGGGACGGCTCAAACAACCAAGTGTTCAGTTTGAATGAAGGGGGAACATAGTCAACCATGTGGCGTCTCGGTTCTACTCGCTTCACCAAATATAACTTCTTTTTTGTGCTTTTGGTGAGCCAAGAAATCTAAGTTGTGTAACACGATGTACATGATTCATGAAACCAAAGCAAAAGTAGGATCAAAACAGGAAGAACAAAGAAATCGATAGACTACAGAGCCTCTACGAATTGCTTCTTGAAGAACTGTGGTGGTGGAAATAACTCCATCTCTCTGCCTCTCTTCCCGTCGTCACCGCTCGCCGGGACTCCTGATATGTCCACACCAAACAACTTCACGACGGGAAGAGGCCTGATAGAGGGCGGCACAGCGCGGTTGCACGCGACCGGACTGGTTTTCCAGTCTATGCACAGCTGCTTCTCCGGCCCGGTGGAACGCCAGAAACTCACCAGATCACCGGCCTTCAGGCTCTTCTCCTTCACAAACCGGCTCCATCCTTTTGTCACCACGTAGCTCCGGCTGCTGTTCCAATACGAGTACCTAAACCTCCACATCTTGCCAGCGGCGTCCTCAAAGTTGAGCAGCACTCCGTTGCGGGCCACGCTGCTGCCACTCTTCAGCGGGAAATGCTTCTCGGCGTGCTGTTTCGGTATCACGAGCCTGTTCAGCTTCCCCACGTCGCTCGGCGTGACCACCTTGTCGAACAATATCTCCCGAGCTGAGCGCAAGGTTTGCTTGCTCTGCTGGAGTTCGTCGTGGTACGTGTGCTTGCGCAGCATGTCCACGATCTCCGCCTCGGAGTGCGCCACGAGGAAGGACAGCTCGGCGGCCTCCTCGTCGTTGGACTCCGTGAGAGGCTTGAAGTTGGTGACCGCGTCGCAGCCACGGAACCACTGCGCGGCGACGTCGTAAGCTCTCGCCGCCTCGGCCTCATCGCCGAAGTTGCCGAGCCACACCCGCTGATGCCTTTCGTAGATCTGGGAGCCATACCGGCCATTCGGCTGGGGGACGACGCCTTTGTACCAGGACGACGACAGCTTCCTCGACTCGGCCTCGATCCCCCCGCCCTCAGCGGACGGATCCAGCACCACGCTGACGCCGCTGCCAATGCGCTGTAGGACTTTGCTCACATGCAGCCGGTTCACCCAGTCGCTAGACGCCTCTTCCACGCAGCCACCCTCCATGGCTAAGGCAGGCGGCATGTGGCAGATGGTTATGGCCAAGCTCAGGAGCGAGTGAGAGAGAGAGAGAGAGATAGAGATAGGGTTGAATTCTTTATACGAGGAGGTCTCCACGGCTTATATAGACAACCATGTTAGCGTGTTGCAGGCGAGATTTATCGTGTGGCTTGGAAATGTACTTCTCTCTCTCTCTCTCTCTCTCTCTCTCTCTTCTTCTGGTCTTGGATGCGATTGGGTGACGAAGGCAGGGACGCAAGGGAAGCAAGTTGGATTCTGTGGGGTTCACATGATAGCTAACTCACAAGCCAAATGCATCCCCCCTCGCATTGATCATGGCGTTGCTTATTGCTTTTGATATGGACAAAAATGGCAGTGTGACACGCCATCCCCTGTGCAACACACTGCCTCCCACGCAACCAAAGGTACAGTCCTGCCCTGCAAACAGCTACATCAGGTAACATCAAACCTCCTATATAAATACCCCCGAGCCCTTGGCAAAGGGGGGAGGAAGGACACACTCAACACACCACACACCACACGGAGGTTTCTCCTCCTCCTAAACCCCCTCCACACCTTTCACTAATTGGATCGTCGGAGGGGTCGAGCCGAGCTCCCGGCCCGACCTGTGTGCAGGTGCGAGACGGTGTCACCTCTTCCCGGCGCTGCGGCGGAGCTTCTTCCCGACCCGACCTCCCGACCCGAACCACCGAGCTCGGCCGCCAGGAGACCCCGAGGAGCGTCCCCAAAATGATCCCCGTCATCCGGATCCGAACCAAGCCGCGACGGCCCCGACGCCACGGCTAAAAAAAGTTACTTACACTAACAGCTTTCATCTCTCTCGCTGTTCTCCGGGATGATGCGCATCGGTATCCACTTGACGTGTGCGCGCAGCAGAACCGCAGTCTACCGCTAGCAGAAATGAAGCTTCTGCTCCGACCGACCGCAGATCAATATCATCAAAAGAGAATTCAGTTCGAGCTCAATTAATGTGATTCCAAAGACATGTCTCGTGTTGGATTGTCGACCTCGAACAAGCAACTAATAGTCCAATCCGATGACACGACCTTAAATTCGTATCACACACACTTCCAACCTCTTTTAATACTTGATACAATACTCGACAGTTCCTTTTAAGATACGAGGATTCACTATTCACATGTTATGATCATTTTCCGTCCTTTGCCGAGGATGAAAGGGAATATAATTAATTCCTTGTTCGAAAATCCAGGATATAATTTTAGAAAATTAAGATTTTTTGGGGAGTAAACTATTCTATATATTTCCCGTACGACTCCACTGGCTATTGAATAACCTTCCGGACGCTATGCGATGGGCCCTTAGAAGCCCAAGAAGTGATACCTTTTAATCTCGAGGGCTTCGCGGGTGGAGAGCGGCGAAGAGGGAGAAAATAGAGAGAGGAGGGACTGACGATGGTGGCGTCTACTCGGTGGGCGTCCATCCGAATCATGATCGGCACCATCCTCGGTGGAGTCCTCGGCTTCTATGTCATGCACCGCGTCGAGATCAACTACAAGGTACCGCCACCACCTCCCCCCCTTGTCTTTGTGCCCTAAGTTGACGAATGGCACATTCTTGTTTCACACAGGAGAAGATGAAGGAGAGGTTGGCCAGGTACGAGCAAGAGATGGAGAGAAAGGAACAACAGCGGCTGCAAGACGAGCACTTATCCGATTCGTGATTCCTGACGCGGCGCCTTCTTCTTTCTCTTGCCTCTTGGAATTCGGGTGAATGGAGGTCTAGGATCAAGGTCCCGCTATCTAAATTTTCATCGTGATTTGTCGTTCTTGGCATGCCCAACTCGGTTTGCTTTTGGATCTCTTCACTTTTTGCCTTGCCGGATTCATATGAAACCTATTTAGACTTGAACTTTGTTTCACAGGCTTAACTTCAAGCATCAGGTGGGTGCTCCTCCAGTCTAACTTTAAGCATCTTTTTCATTCTAGCTAATACTTGGAAAACAGACATCTTGTATCGAGGATTTAATTTTAATTAGCATACGTTAATAATTTTGCTGGGCATCTTTAATTCCTTTAACGTTATACAGTTGTTGAATGAAATGACCTCGTGTCTCACGGATTAGTATACATACCCTGCCATCTGCTTATCGAATTTTTACTCTATGACACAATTCTTTATGTGCTCAAAATTATCTGGCATGTTACTTTTTATTTTATTAATCTATTTATCATCACGTTTCTCAGTGCAGTGTGATTTGCCTAATTATGTTTTTTACCCCCTTACAATATTTCAGGAATTCCAAGTTCTCCCTAGAATTAGTCATTCGATTAAGAGTCTAGCATTTTAAGGTTTGTTTTCAACAGTATCAATTAACAGCTCTTGGGTCTAAGTAGATCTTGTATGGGCTTGATCTTCCATGTTTGGAGCCATGCCTTTATAGCATGGTCCTCAAACTAACTGGCTGCCAATTTTCTTCATCATTAAGATAGACAAACTTCACCAGGAAAACGTTCCTTGATTTCTCATGCTGGCTGAATGTGCAACTTCTTTCCGTGCCTTCCTTCTTTGATGCATATTCAAAAAGCTAGCAAATTTCTTGGAGAACCATTGTCTGCAAGTTGGATTCAGCAACTATGGAGAAAGGTCAGCTATTCTGTCGAGCATAATTTCTTCCCCAAAAAAGCTCAAACTCTAAGAACGCCTAATAAGCTAGATGAGTAATTTCCTTGAGATCTCTGCTGCAGTTAGTTTAAATGGTTTCATCAAAAGATCTAACATGTGTTTCACATAGGTATATATTGAATATTTATCTGTAAAGCCAATTCCAGGTTACTTAGGAAGTTAGAAGCACAGATGCAAGAAGATTTTTGTCACTCAAACTCGCCTTACATGTAGATAACAACTGCTGGTATAGAATTAAAGATATTTTCTAGCAGCTGAACAGTTTTCCAGCTAGGCTGTTTGGTAACAGCCTTGAAAAATCTTAAATATATTATATAATTTATCAGATAGATAAGAGGAAGAGATGATGAGTTTGAATGCATCTGGGATGCTTGTATCCAAAACCCTGTGCAAGATGAAAGGAAATAAGCTAGAGACTTCAAAGATGATTATAAGTTGATCGGTTCTATAGTTTCTGGATTTGTTTTAGCTGTCATTTGTGTCTGCAGATCCTAAAGACCACTGGAGATTTGAGCTGTGCCGCATGATGCAGGACCTTAAAGAAGAGTGTGCCTTTTGATTGCGGTTTCTGTTAATGGGTACCCACGAAGCTGGATCATTAGAATAGGTATTATGCAATATACAAGATCCAACCCTCCACCTATGCTTTGATAAATTTAATTTAAATGCATATAAGTTCTGTTTCGACTATGATATCTGCTAGGACTATGGTGTCGTCCAGAAATTAGGGAAATGTTATCACATAATTATTTGCTTCTGTTTTTGATAGTTTTTATTGGATGCTAACAGTCTTTTGTGCTCCCAAGGATTTTATTGGTATGTTTTGTTTGTTTTTTGGCAATAATATTGGCATGGCTTGTTGCTTTGTTTATGGCATTTTTGTTATCAAAATCAGAACAAGTATCTTGGACAGTGCAAGTTACATATGAACAACTACTTTCATCCTTGATCTCTATACCTCCTTGGGCATTTATTCTGCATTCTCGCTTCTCATAGATTCTGCTGATAGTACATGGTTCGATTTGTTTCTCGGGTCACCATCAGTGCCTTCCATTAATTCTTAGGTAGAGGACAAACTAGTCAATAAGTTTAACGCTTGAATTTGATGGATCACATCGACCTGCTGCGCGCTTGTTTCCTGTGCATGATTGAGTCACTCTTCATTGGATGTCTGGAGTGAGTTCTTCTTACGAGGCGATAAAGTTCGACCGTAATATCTACATTAAAGCACCTCTTTTTTGGATATCAGGAGTGATGGTTTACATAACTTATTATAATGTTTGTATAAGCTGTTTTTGTTGAAATCTTGTTCTTCATATATAATATATATTTTTCTGAATTAGTCGGAAGAAAGTTTTGTACGAAACACACAACTGGTGTAATGGCATTCTGCGGTTTTCCCTCGTTTCAGATGATGTATGGTACTGCTAATGGATGTTGACCGTCCATTATGGCCGCCAACCATGGATCTACTAAAGGACGAAACCGGGTATTAAGCTTCAAATTATCCCGAACGGTGTTTATTAGACGCGATGTCTATCGGATTTATTGGTTCTCTTGATTCTTTATCGGTTGTATTATGACCCATGTCTGGCTCGAATCCGAACAGATTAAGCACCGGTATATGCCCACGCGGGCTGTTGCGTGAGGGAATACGTACTCTACGGATTGGAACGGTCGTGCGCGATCTGATCTTGGAAATTCTTCGGAGGCACGAAAGATCGAGCGAACCAAAACATCGGTAGAATCTCCCAGAAACTCTCTTTCCCCTCCTGCGACGAGCCAAGCGATCGAATCGAAGTCGAAACCCCACCTTCTGCTCCTCCTCGCTGGCATCGACGACAGCAATGAAGCGCTCCGCCGACGACCGCGACCTTCGGAAGCTGCCATCGGCCGCAGACGCCAAGCCCGTCTTCATGTCCAAGGCCGAGCGCCAGCGCCAGCGCTGCGAGGAGGTCGTCGCCGAGCACCGCCGAGCTGCCCTCGATCTCCTCCGCAGCCCTCCGACTCCAGCCACCGACGCGACCACGACCGGGACTGTGATCGTCGCGTCCGAAACCGTGAGCGCGAGCGGGATAAGGAGCTCGGCGCCATCAGGGAGCAATACTTGGGGTCCAAGAAGCCCAAGAAGCAGCGGGTGATTAAGCATAGCGAAAAGTTCCGTTTCTCATTCGAATGGGAGAACACTGAAGCCACCTTCCGCGACATTAACGCCTTATACCAGAATCCCCACGAGGCGCGGGTCCTCTTCGGCCGTGGTTTTATTGCCGGCAGCGACCAGCGCGAGCAGAAGAAGCCGGCCGCTCTTCACGAAAAGGAGACACGGGAGGAGATCCGCCGCAAGGAGGGTGTGGAGGAGCGGCCGGAGGAGGCCGCCGCTGACCTATATGATACCTTCGATATGCGTGTCGAACGTCATTGGTCTGAGAAGAAGATTGAGGAAATGACTAAGCGGGACTGGCGCGTCTTCATGATCCTCAGTGGCGCCTTTAACGTAGCACCGGAGGGGGGTGTTCCAGAGGAAGACGCGGGGCTTGTGCATATCGTCGAACAGGCTGCGGGCGTAGGCCACGTGTCCGGAAGACATCTGAGAAAGCAGGATCCGGGTAAGGAGGCTGTTCTTGCGGGCGAGGCCGGTGGCGAGGAGAAGGGCGTGGCTCTGTTTGAGGTGGGCGGGGTAGGAGTGGGATAATATGAGTGCCGCGAAGCCGGCTTTGGTTGTCGGGGTGGGGGAAGGCTGTGTGCCAGCGACGAGGAGGGCGCTGCGTCGGGTCGGAGCGATCGTGGTCGGTCCCACCCACCGCCACATGGATCTCGCTGGTACGTCCTACAGGTAACAATTTGACCAATTGATGAAATAATGCTCCAAAATTTGTATTAATTCCGCGCTATTGACAGTTGATATTAAGAAAAGTAAAATATTGACAGCGAATCACTTTTCGACACGTTTTTGGAAAAAAACATAGAGCCAAAAAAGAAGGAAAATTCTTTGAATAGGCTGCGAGTCTTTTTAAGAGAGGAGCGGAAACCAACCGACGGGGACGCAGAGAAGCCGGTGTCCGCTTCTTCATCCTCCTCCAGCTTCATGGTTTGTGTTGGTTCTTCACAGGTCGGGCGTCGCCGGTATCTTTCCGACGCATCCCGATGGCTTCTGCGGCGGGTCGTCAAGCCGGATCTTGATCGATTCGGGCTCCTTCCTCTGCCTCGCCTTCATCCTCGCCCGTGGTAAGCCTAAACCCTTATTTTCTTGATCGCGATGGCCCATTCTTTTATCTTGTTCCATTGTTACATCACATGTTTGCCGCTTTCTTCGTCTTGGAGGTTGTAATCGGATGATCATATCCGATGATAGTGCAGTCATTTGGGTCGGTTAGTAACGCAGAATTGTTGGTAGTCGTGCTGACGGGTTCGATGTTATAGCAAAAGCGCAGGGTTAAGGAATGTAGTCGTTCAATGTTGGGATTAGCTTATGTTTGTTGCCCTATCTACAAATCAGTAAGTCTGGTTTGTTGGCAATTAGATGGCTAGATAAGTTGTTGATAGATAATACATTGCTTCGAAGCCCAATGGAGAGGTATCTGTTGACAAGTGCCAAAACTAATTAATTTTTTATTGTAAAAATATTGAACCATTTCTAGATTTGAGCCATGCTAATTTTCTTTGGATCGTTTCAATTTTATCATTGTACCTAAAGTTCTATAATAATTTTGAGATGTTTTCTTTACAGTTTGTCGGTATAAACCCTACTAGAAATATTTCTTTCGGGCACAACTGCTGGTCACGTTAACTGATATCATTGGCATCATGTGAAAGGTTTAGAGAAGAACCAAACTGGAGTTTACTTTCTCCTATATGATACTTGGCAGGGTTGGAACATCTTTAGATTTGTATGCCGAGTGGGCTCTATTTGACTTGTGACTATGTAGCTAGACAATAGTTAAGATTGCTCAACTGTAACTTGTAAAAGCCATGCCAGAAATAGAAGTAGAACAATGAATATATCATTTTTTAATCTCGAAAAACGTCTCTTCTACTTATTTTCCCACAGAGTTGGAGAAATTATCTTTCGATGGATGGTTTTTTTTTGCTTTGCTGTAGGAGAGGGGGGTCGAGCGGTCATTGAGTAAGGTACTCATTTGGAAAACCTTAACATTTAAACTTGGCGAACATGGATACAACTAAAATCAGTTGAACTTGGCATTAACTTGGTTGGGTTGGGTCAAGAGCTAGCACCACTTGCCAATATGTTGACACAAGGCTAATTAGCTTGATGTTGGACAGGATGAGCACCGTCGGGACCAAATAGCAGACCTGTATCTTGATATGTCTAAAAACTTCAGAACTTTGGGCTTCAGACTCTTCTTGTTCTTACATTCAAGGAAAACTAACTAGTGTTCACCCAGAAAGGAGCCTATGGTAATAGGTCTAAGTTGTCATGTGTGCCAAGGCTTGCACTTGGCATTAACTTGGTTGGGTTGGGTCAAGAGCTAGCACCACTTGCCAATATGTTGACACAAGGCTAATTAGCTTGATGTTGGACAGGATGAGCACCGTCGGGACCAAATAGCAGACCTGTATCTTGATATGTCTAAAATCTTCA